AGTTCCTTATTATATAAATGGAGATACTTTCAGTCACTAAGCACTCCCTAAAAGTGAAAATTAAAGTTTAAGCTTATCACCTAATGCAAACAAAAATGACACTGCTTAAATCGGTGTAAAAATATTCTGCAAAGTTAAGATTGAACAAGTACTTTGGAGCCCACGGTTGCCACCAGAATTCAGCTGGAGTCCATGAGCTGAATTGAAAAATAACAAGGATGGCCTGAATGCAAAGTCGATCGAGTTCGAATGGTTAATTTTCAATGTCAAGCACGAGTATGAGTTTGATTTAGGCTAGGCTATGAGGTTGAGTTTATCTGAAGCCGAGAGTTTTTGAGTTTGAGATCAAAAGTGAAAATGTGCAAACTAGCGCACTTCTACTATTTACCATGTTTGAGTTAAGAGGATACTCAAGTCAACAATAATGGTTTCTCTTGCACTTACACAGCAGGCAAAACTTTGAACAAATGAATATGATTGTAAGTCTGAAGTTCGTAGACGAAAGCAACTGATACTGTTGTTGGTTTTCACATGACGTCACTAAAACTCAAACTAAAAAACTATCGATCCTACCGAGATCTTAATTTCACGATGTATTAGAACAGCTGAAAATTAATTTTCAACTAAACTTCAAAAGGGTTCTTGGTTTTGTGATAGAGTACGCTTGAATTTCTAAGCCTTTGCGTGACGCGGCATTTACATGACGACCAAGAGAGCTGTCATGTAGGTTAAAAAAATGACTAATTTCAAGAAATTTTGCTATCTAAACAGTTAGGAGCTCATCCGGGTGAGCAACAGCATGGCGTCTCCATACAAATCTCTAAAAGTCTGGGTAAAACATTTCTTCGGATACCTCGTTTACGAAATATTCCTCTGACCTGAATCTTGGCGAGGGTCTTTGTTTATGTACCTCCTTTCATTTCCCAGATTCTGGACTATCTATTGAAAGGCTTTGATTCCTAGTTTGATGTATTTTGAATGGCGTGACACTGAAAAACAGCAATATATTAGACTCTACACATTGGTTTTCACTTTTGTATCGTGGTTGAAATCCTTCAGTGAAAAGCTGTTGTACTGACTTGTGTCGCTGTTCATGCAAATCCTAAAGTGTGACCATTCAAATGAAAGTAATACTAAGCAGCACTTTCCTGTGGTACATGTTTTGCTTATTATGCTGTACAAGGTGGTTCTAACTTTGAAGTCTGTGAATGAAACCCTTAAGTGTGACAATTCACATGAAAGCTACTGAGCAATACTTTCATTATGCTGTTACACGGTGGTTCTCACTTTTGAGTCTGTGGATGAAATCCTATGGTGTGACCATTCACATGAGACTTCTATCAGCAGTACTTTCACATGTTACTGTTAATTTTTCAACGTTTAAAAGATGAAATTTGAAATCTTTGTTGAATTTTGTCCGAATCACGAGTTTCAGGTTACCAGATACCTTCAGAAACGTTGGATGATCATATATGCCCCTCAACAAAAGAGTTTTAAGAAACTAAAAATTCCAAGAAACGTTTTTGACGCTAACACATTGGTAACATCCCTCAAAATGCTAGGTCAATCAAACAAATTTCCTTTGAGTTTTTGCTGTCGAAACCTGATTCGGAAGCTCGCACCAATCAGTTCTGCAAACATCTTAAGTTTGAACTTGACCGCCCGGAAATTTAAGTTGACATGGGACCAGATCTTAAATAGCAGAAAACTGGCCAATTATATTGGTCTCAGTGGGAAAGAGCTATTATTTTTTTGTTTGTTTTTCCCTCTTTCAGAAAATTAATGAGAGCCGTAAGAACAACTTATAGCAAAGTTTACAAAGAAGTTATAAAAATAGGCTATTTGTTAGGAGACTTTTATTTACACACCCACACACACACACAAAGTTTTACTCAGCTTTAATTCAGAAGCGTCCCAAAAGATATTTAAAAAGACATTGAAAAAAATAAAGAAAAGAAAGTTCTCTTTTGAACGCTTTCTCAGGGAAATCTTTTTTCATCTTGTTTGCAGACTTCCTCTAACTGAGAAGCCACAGAACCAATTCGATTAAAAAAAGTGAAATTAAAAGTTGATGATTTAAACGTTTCAGATGATACATGATGAAATCCTGAAAGGGAAGTCAAGGTTGAAAATGGACACTTGTTCTGATATTTTACCTAGTTTTGCCGAGAAAGGGATTATTTTTTCTCCTTAGCTTTTGCTGACCTTATGATAAATCATAGATGAACCTTACGTGACGAAAGCCTAAGAGAGAAAGCTCAAATTGGACATTTATGCTCTATATCTCGAAAGTTCAGGTTTTGTCAAAATTAAGGTGTTTTTGTTATTGTCATATGGTTTTTATCCGCAAAACAACCCCCGGGTTTAAATTGAAACAAAACCATAACGCATTGATCACGGCATTTGAACGCCCTCTAACTTAACCACATCTTTCTGAAAATAGCTTTTGACTTAGTATATGACGTCAATAAAAATTAATTATAAGAATTTCCCTTTCTTTCACATATGAAAAACCCCTTTTGTATGCAAATAAAGGATTTTATTCGTAACTTGTTTTTTACATCATATTTTCAAGAAAACAAGCCTCATAAGTTTTCTTTGATTCATAGCTGAGTTTAGAAAACACAAACACGAAGAGAATCAACAATTGTGTTTATTTATCTGCTTAGTTTTTGTTTTCTCTGCCTCGCTATCACGTTTTCTGCAAATAATCACGTGATTTTAGCTTTACGAAGGCGGAAATCAATGGAGAGGCCGATCTAGAGCCAGGCCCCTTCGGTTCTTAAGGATCAGCTAGTTTTACTGTGTCAAACGATATTCTAACCTCATATTTTCTGTGAGGCATTTCAATATCACAAATGATATTTGTCATCAGCTTTTTTCTTCTTTTCATTGTGTTGAAAAAAAATTACATAATTGCACTATCATGGAAGTATCTACTCTTCTAAGTGGAATAAAAGCTCTAAACAATTTAAACTCGGCTGTTTTTCTTTTTAAGGCTGCTTGATGTAATGATGTCATACTTCTGTTAATTAAACCTTTGGGCAGAAATGAGCCAATCAGATTCTTTGACTGCTTTCCATAGGTGAATTAGTGTTCAACTAAAAGGATGCAATTTGTTTCATAACATTTTTCTTAGATTTACTTAGAGATTCAATAGCACTTTAAAATGATTACCTCAAAAAACACGCCATCTTTACAATTTAACATGGGAATGTGAAGAACAACCGTCGTACAGTTCACCTTGAAGTTTCGCCAGTTTTTTCTTTTTTGCTAGAGTTTAATAAAGCACAGTTTTAAAACCACGAACAACTATTTTTTACCTTGACCGTTCTCATCTCCTTGGAGATTTGTCAATAACTTTCAATTAAAGGTAAACTCTGGAGCATGTTTGTTGAAAACGTGAATTATCAAGATAACGGGCTAGCAAAAAGAACAATGAGTACTGTTTAGTCCATGTCTGTATCTCATTAACAATGCAGATATATGCTTTTTCTTCAGAATACACCGACTCCTTTTTGAGAAAGCATATACTTTTTATCAAAAATCATAACTACGATAAAATTTTCAGTTAAACTTTAAGACCCAGGGCACCAACGAGGTACGTGCTCTCTCTACGTTATGTATGCATGTTCTGCTTAAATTAATCCCAAATCTCACAGCTCGGATCAGTTGAAAAGGTGTTACAAAAAACTTAGACTTTCAACCTTATCTTTCGACTACATGTGGCCCATTGTTTCAGTGTAGTTTTCTACATAATCGCCAGATGTCAGCAAATAAAATTAGCTACTCACAAACCACAACAATCTGGAAATCTCGCCTACAGGAAAGCAAACCTACGCGAAGATCGACCTTGAGATGTTTATGGGAGGGTAGCAAGACCCCTTTCCAACCTTGCAGCGAGGGTTATCATGTTTTTGGTTCTTTCTTGATTGTAAAGCGATTATTTTTAAACGTTTGACGCGCACAATACTTCATCAGCCTTAAATCATTAATATGTTTAAGCACACATAAAGATGACAACTCTATAAGTTACGTGTTTGGGAACAAATCAGCTTACAATGAAGAGCTGCCAACAAGCTCTTCTTCTACAATGAGGCCAACGTGTAAAAAGCCGGGAATCATTAGCGTTTCACCGAGAGCCGCTAATTAGAGACTAAGGGCAAAAAACCATTCACAGAGGCTAGTTGTGCCGTCAGAGTATTGTATGATATTTCTATGATGAATTGAAAGCAGGTGCGGAGTTACAAACGTTACCGAGGCTGCCTCCTGGCTCACCACTAACCTTTGTCCGCCCCTAAAAGCTCCATTCTCGCAAGTATTGTCTGCTAGCTGCTCGCAAATGTCACGGCAAAGTCAGTTCAAGGCGAATTTCAAACCGTAAAACCCCGTCTTCCGCCGAAATCCGAAAAGAAGCAAAAGGGCCCGCGCATGCGCATAAATTACTAGATATATGTTCGGTGAAGGAGGTGCTGTCACAGCGGAAGAGCAATGATTTGATAGACCTTCTAAGGCTGAAATAAAAGGCGCCAAGCGTGGCTCTGAGGCATTTTTCGTTGATCAGAGACGACGCGGTCCCAGTTTCGGCAAATTTCCTCAAACATGCAAATTTACTTTCCAGGGCCTTTTTAACAAAAACAGACGAAATAGGAGCTGTTCTATTTAGCATTGGATTTCCAATTAGCCCCGCAAATGTGGACGTTTTGGAGAGAGTACATGTCAGAAATCCATGTTTTAAACATGACACTCGAAAGTTTCATCTTCGTGACGCGCTAGGGAGGGTCAAAATTGGTTAATTTTTGCTTTGTACCTTTCCTTATTAGCTGGGTAGTCTTTTCAAAGGATCCAGTGAATCTTTGTTATGTAGCGTGCAAGCGTTAATCAGCTAAAGTGCACGTGCTTTTTTTTAAAACACAATTTGCATTGTGAATGTCATTATGATCATCGGTTTACTTGTCTATAAAATCTCAGAGTGAGGGACGTAAATTTATTTCATTTTTTTCGAGGCGTGCCCGTTCGAGGCCATTGTTTACAATCCTTCCTTTTCAACCACGTGTGCCGAGAATATCATACAAAACTGGCCCAGTGTCCACTTGCGAACATCACAACACACTGATTTCTTCGAGGAACGAGTTCGCCCAATAATCACAAATCTAGAAATATTTTACAGACCGGCTGCTGTAACTGTTAACAGGTAGGCGGGTTAACAGATTGTTTAACGCTTTAAATATTTAGAAAAACTCTAACAGGTAAAGTGGTGAAATTTAATTATAACAGGTACTTTTTCTCAGCTTATCACATTAAGCACACTTTTTCATGTTCTTTGGTTTCGCTTAGATGATGTGCACTTTGACTCGAGAACTAAGTCATAATACTATGTTGTCTTTAAGTGTAATGTGCAAGAGAGCAGACCGATGGAGAAAATTGTTATTTTTTTACGAATGTTGCTCACGTTTTTTTCTTTACCCTCTAGGTATTTAGGGATTATATTTGATATGAGCGCACAGGAATCTAGGATAGATCATCCGCAAAGACCGAATCACGCTAGAAAGATGCCTTCCGTTTCCAAGAATGTTGTTAAACAAGCCGGAGTTAAAAAATCAAATACGAAGTCAATAACTACGGGTATGGAGGAGACTGATACCAAATTTCTGACTGGAGCTGTAGACACTGTTTCAATGGATCAAAAGTGGTCAAAAACAAAGCACGATTGGAAAGCTGAGACAAGATCTCGATCGGGTGGCGTTAGAACAACACGTCAAATCAGGCGTAACGAGAGAGAACGTGGAAGAAAGGCTCGTCTAAACGCGGCTTTTCAAGTTTTACGCTCCGTCGTACCAAGGACTAGCATGAATTCGTCAGGAACCGTAAGCGAACGAAAAATGACTCAAGTGGAGATCCTTCGCCTGGCAAAAAACTATATTTCCAGTCTCACTGAAATCCTCAGAGAAGACAACAGATATAATATCGGATCGTTTAATGCCTGAAATGTTCATGATTGTCATTGTAAAACGGTGAAGAATTGTCACTTTTGCTTGAGAGGACGAAAATGCGAAGAATGGGGATATTAATGGCGCTGAAAATCGGTACAAGATCAGCTGGTTTAGTCAGAGAATTATGGTGGTTTAATTCGCGCCCATTCGTGAAGTTTGATCATTCGTATTACTAATTAGCATCTCGTTTACACGTCATTTGTATCGTTTTGTAAATAGTGGCAATGATATTAATATCTTTAAGAATGACTCTTTAAAGAGATAATATAGAATTTAATATACCGCCGTGCGATTAAACTTTGTTAAGCGAGCCGTTTCGTTTGAGAAAGTTTCGCGTAAAATTAAATTTTCACATGTTAACGCTACATTGTAACGAATATGCATAAAAGACGTATTAGTTGTATAGTAAATTAAAAATAAACATCTATCAACAAAATGGAATCGTCAACAATGGCCTTAAAGAAAATTTTCAACTACGTGATGTTGTCAAACTCATATTAAACTTTAAGTGATGCCGAAAACAAGAGGCTATGACGCACTCCGATCATTTAATCCTAACTGTGATCTTTTTCTATAAGCGGAGGGTTTGTTTAATGATATAAAACAAGTGAATCGATCACAAATTAACGGAAACTTTTTAAAAAGCCAAACATATTGCATTGTGTTTTAATTTCGGGTTTCTTATTAGTTTACTTTTGTATGATTTCAATCACTCTTTATCTACGTTCGTTGCTAATAAATTTGATAAAAATTCTCTAATTAAAAGTAAGAGCTTTTCAAGCACAGCGGGGACTCCTTGTTAAATTTATTGCTCTGCTGATCCGCATTATATTCTTGAAAAAGAAGATTTTCCCGTAAGGTTTTAAAAATGTAAATGTAAATAAAACGGCGGTTACAAAGTGCCTATTAGATCTCGCACAGTTTGAGTAGACAAAATAATGCTTTTGAAGATAAAGAGAAAAAACACTTGTCTGGGACCCCAATCCTATTGTATTTTGCGTTCGCGTTCGATAATGAAATCTTCAAAGTTAAATAGTTTTTGAAGTCTGTTATTAGGTTTTACCGCGAATTACATCTGTATTATGCTGAAATTAGCAGACCCCCTATGGCACGCGGACACCAGCATCTGTACGCCGGCTAAGTGGCAAATTTTCCTTTCCATTTTTAGTTTCCTTTTGTGTCTGTTTATTGCAGCATTCACCGTGGTTGGGACGTGGTATACGTATATCGAGAAAGTGCAAAAGGTATCTCTTGCGATATTCAAAAGCTCGTGATGATCGAAGAATCAAATCCTTTCTTCTAAAAAGACAAAGCAAGTTTACTTCGACACTTTATAATGAACGTTAATATAAACTTTCATTAGAGTGTCTATTAATATTTTGTAAACATTTGCATAACTATTAATTCATTTCTTAAGACGGGCTTCATGGATGAGATGATTGCCGAACGTCACGTGCTGCCATCATTTTCTTCACGTGCTGGGTCTAGAAGGAGCTGTATCATATACGTTTCTGGGAAACTTAACTGCCGCCAAACCGTAAGCGTCAGATAATACTCCTTTTCCACAATATACCAGTTGTGCAACCATTTTGACTTTCTAGATGCTTCTTTTACTGCTTTTACGGTACAACGAACTATTTACGTACTTGCAAATGGAGATTAAGATTAACCGTCAAAAAGTCTCAAGGTATTTCAAATCTCACTATTTCAGCGTTCTAGCTCCTGAAAAATTTCGAAACTGGAAAACCAGTTCCCATGTTCTCATAACACTGTTTCTCTAGACATTACAATACCTTCAAACCTACTTATATCTGAAAGTATTTTGAAATTCATATAGACCTTAATATTTACTGCAACTTATGGAATAATTTCCACTTAATAGCCGTCAGCCGTAAAAAGCTACGAAATTTAACCGTCAGCCGTCAAAATTGGAAAAACGTAACCGTCAACCGTCAGAGCTCCTCCCCTTCTTTGAAACTCTCTTGCGATGCCTTCTGTGCGGGAGGTCCCGAGTTCGATCCCCAGATTTGGCCTCAAATCCCTCCTTTTTTTCCCTTTTCGTGTAGCTTTCAATAACCGTAAAATAGAGCGCTAATGGAGAGGGGGGAGGGGGGGGGGGATGAGCGCGCCGTGGGTCTCAGGTTTGTCAGTTCAAGTACAACAGTAGAACCTCGACATAACGCAGGGTCAAGGGTCTCACTAACAAAGTTTGTTCGCTATAACGAGGTCTCGATATATCGAGGTCCTTTTTCATATGTTTTACTATTACTGGGGTAGAGAAAATCGTTCGTTATATCGAGTTCTTCGTTATAAAGAGGTTCGTTCCACTGTACAGTTACCGACGCAAAATATGGATCTTTATCTTTACCTTCATGTGTGATCAAATTGATCAAAGAGACACTGACTCGATTAACTCCAATCGGGAATAACGAAGCTCGTCTTTTCAAGAAAGGTGGTCAGTAAATTTCCAGAAAAATAAGGTGGAGAAAAACAGTTTTTTTCCAAAGAACTGTGTTTGTCAGAGAATGAGAAACGAAACGTCCACTTTCTGGGCTTGGCTTTAAGGTGACAGAGTCCTCCCCTCTCTTAAGAAAGGACAAGCCTTGTTCAGTGTCTGCTACTGTACCAAGAGGTCCGTTTTAAGCTAACTCTTGGAAGAAAAGCAAACACCGATGACAATTCTAGCAAATTTCCATGACATGCTTGGCAAAACTCATCTCAAGTTCGGATCCCTCAGTCTTTTTTCGAGGCATGTCATTTCAATGCTTGACGTACTCAGTAATATACATGTGGGTATTCTTAATAATTCTGCCCGGGGAATTCTGATAATAATCGAAAACGAGTTGAAATGTTGAAAGCTTTGTTGATAGTAAAGGCGCCATTAAAAGTTTAGCTAGTACATGGGCAATCTCAAATAATTTGAAAAAAAAAATGCCAACAGGACATAACGGGATTAAAACCACCAAATGAAAAGACAACCAGTATGCTATTTTTCATACATGATCGAGGATTTGAACTCGGTAGAGTACTAAGCCTGGTGTTAGGTTCTCGCACGCTCGAACAGTTCCAGCAACACTCCCCTCGAACGCCTGGCACGTAGGCTCGAAGAAGAGGGGAATCTCACGTCTGATTTACATCCTATAGACCTTGTCACGGTTTCGAAGCCATCTTGACGAGTAGGCAAACGCGTGAGAAATTACAGTGTTTGTATGAGATTCTAATATCGAATAATTGCCGTGAAACGGCTGTTCTGAAAAAAATATGAATTGTAAACTAAAGCTTCACTCCTAAGGATTCTACCCAAAAAAATTGAGGGCGTTCCATGCGCTAGAAGACCTAAAACCACGTTTTTAAATTTTCTATACATTTGTAAGAAAGTCCAGGGAAAAATTACAGACAAATATATGGAAAATCTAAAGCAAGCGTCTGAGGAAACTTAAGCACAGGTACGCCTCCAAAATTTTTTAGTACAATCCTTTGCTTTGTAGCTTTAGTTTACAATTTACAATTTTTTCAGAACAGCCGTTTTACGGGAATTGTTCGACATTAGATTCTCATACAAACACTGTAATTTCTCACACGTTTGCCTACTCGTCAAGATGGCGTCGAAAACCGTGACAAGGTCTATTAAATTATAACAATTGAATAAAGATTACTTACTTTATCGATGTGTTGACTTTTGGCGGCCATTTTGAAATTTGCGGTCGGCAGGTGCAAGAGCAAGGCCTGGTACCGAGCTGGGACAGTCCAAAGTTCGGTAAAATCTCGGAAGATCCGATTGCTTGCAAAGTGCAATGAAGGAGATCCGAGCGGCTCCGAAGCGAGCGTGTAGGGATTTTTTTGGGGCCGGTAGCCTGTGTAGCTTGGCGGTTTTGTCAATCTCCTCTCGGTTTCTCTGCCCTCGCCCGCCTTTATAACTTTGCGCGCCCAACCAAAACCGCCATGCTACGCAGGCTTGGGGGCTGGCAACGTGCAGGTCGATACATCTTCAACCAAAGCCACGAGCGGCGAAGACGATCAAAAGCAAAAATCGCCCAGTTGAAAAGGATCTTTGGCACCCAGTCTTGACAATGGCCTGATTGGTTTCAGTATGCGACACGATTTGAGATAATTTAGCTTAGAATGGCTTCATCCAGGGCTGGAGCGCTAATATTAGCATTTTTCCTCGAGAAGTCCTCCTCAGCTGACCAATACACCAGAATGGTTTTGTAACAATAGTCTATTCAATCTATTGTCAAGACACAATAGGGCCTAGAGTTGCCTACAAGTCGAGCTCAAATTTTTCACGGGCGCGAAGCGCGAGCGGTAGACTTGTTAACTACCGGAACCGGAAATGGAAAGCGAAGGACTTTGAGGAAGTCTATTTTTTGGCAAGAGTTGCACCATTCATTCAAGCATATAAGGTTAGGTGCATCTTAGCTATGAGTAGTTTTTTTGTGCCATTAATACGAGAACTTGCCGTTTTAAGTTTTTTCGAATTAATGGCCTTGATGCTTCCGGTTCCTTGGAGAACCTATAGCTGACCTGTCAACAGTATTGGAACTATCCGGAGTGGATCTGGATACCAAAATTGAAATCAAGCCTTGTTGCCGTCGTGTTAGCCTGCGTAGCAGGCGCTAGGAAATAAATGGGCGCAAGAAAAAACGCGCGCGAGAGAAGGAGACACGCGAGGGGAGAGGGAGCGCCTTTCCCTCGCGCGCGCTCGTTCTTTCTTGCGCCCATTTACTTCGTAGCGACTGCTACGCAAGTTACCGTCAAGTTCCCTACAATTTTCGACTGCTATTAAAACATCTTGTCGGTAACGTTTTACAATCAGCACCAAACCCTCTCCTTATCACTTTTAAGGTTTATTTACAGTAACTTTATTTGAGAAAACGTCGGGCAGTTTAAACAAATGAGGTAGGAATGGCAAGTACACTCCTGAATAAAAATCATACTTCATAATCTTCAATGAACTAAGGGTTATGATATGTGGTGGTAATATGGCATTGTTAGATTAGAAACAAAAGGGAAATAATATGTTTTGAAGTAGTTTTCGCTGCGCGAATGTTGAAGGACATAATTTAGAGCATTATTGGCAAGAGTGCCTTTAGGTTTTGTTACAGCTCCTAGGTACATGTATCCTGAACCAAGAATCAAAAACCCTGGCGAACGCGGGCTCCTTTTGAAACAATTTTCTCACACTGAGTGTGAGAAAACATCAAGTGGAAGACTGTGGCAAAGTCTGGTAGAATTTTCAACTTCTACTCGGCAAAAAGTGGGCAAACAAATTAAAATGATAATCTGTTCATGTTGTCCTTCAGCAGCATAATTAAAGATAAAAAAACTTTTCTAGTCAGGCCTTAACCACTGATTAAAAAGTAAAACCTAAAATCAAAGCTTTTGCTGATCAAAGGCATCATCATCATCACCCTGATGACGCCGTTGATCGGCGAAAGCTTGGATTTTCGTTTTTACTTTTTCATCAGCAGTTTAAGGCCTCACTAGAACAGTTTTATATATTTTTAAAATGATAATGATAACAACAGCGCCATCTTAAGCGATTTGTCAAAGACTTCAGTTCAAGCAGTCTCCTTCGCAGCCATTTTTGTGTCGTCACCCAACGCTTCTCCCGGGGGAAAAGCGTTGCGTGACAACACAAAAAACGGCTGCGTAGGAGATTTAGGCTATGTTCACGGCATGGACGAATTTTCTACCGGTTTAAAATTCGTGTGTTTAGGGGTTCCGTTCACACGGAAAATCTAGACGCTTAGCCGATCAAAGTTCCCTGCGAACACAGCGAAAATGTTGAAAGGTCCCGTGGGAAGGTAACCACAAAACAGTCCCAGCCACCTACTTCAAATATAGACCCGCTTTCCTCAATGTTCAATAGACTCCAAGAGAAATTGTTTGACCAACTTAAGTATCAGTTTCATCTTGGTTGTTTTGAAACTATGTCGGTGTTTAACTTAGTTCATTGTCTTTAAACTAATCTCATTGTTCTTAAAATTTTCACATCTCTTTATCACGTGGTTCCCTTCAACAGTCCACGTTTTACATTGGTGGCGCAAACACTCCACAAACATCCCCTCTGAGGGCTTAACTTCAGTCATCCAGTTTTACAAACACTTTCGGTCTGGAGAATATTTTTATAGCGTCCTCTATTTCAGCAAGTTTTCTTTCCAGTTCTGCTTTGGTTGTCTTCACTCGGAGCGTATCCACTCGAACTGGAAGTGCGTTTAACTGGGTGAGAAGCTCCGCTTGGCCTTTAAATAAACGAAAAACCAAAAAGAAGAAAAAAGAAAATACTCAAATAAATTAATTTATTAACAGTACGATAAGCACTATATATTTACAAAACTACAGATTTAAAAGCTTCGATAGGATGAGAATGAACGCGGGGAAAGGAGAAAGTTACGAAGTAAAAGTTTTTGGGCCTGTTTAAATTGAGGCAAAAGAGTTGGTCCAACTTTATGCAACATTGTTGAGTGCAACATGATAAAAGATTCGCCCCATGTAAGGAAATTTAAGACAGTCTTGGATTCTAGATTTCACGCCATGGATTCCGGATTCTCTGTCAGTGGGATTTGGATTCTGGATTCCAATCGTTAGCGGGATTCTGGATTCCTTGAGCTGTATTCCGGATTCCAAAGCCCATGATTCCAGATTTCACAACAAAAAGTTTATGGATTCCGGATTTCACACTGACAGGCAAAAATTTTCCAGATTTTGGAATCCAGAATCACTTACATTAGACGAAAAGATAATTTTGAACACCCTGATAGGATTTGAATGAGGTAAAACTTTGCGCCCATTTAAATGTATCTAACACGGTGGATGGAGGATGTTAAAACAGTCCTATTCAGGATTACGTTCACCCAGATGATCATGTTCCACCAACTTATGAAATGACTCCTGGGTTCAAACCTTTCACAATAATATTACTATTTAACACACAAAGGACTAATCAAATTTGAACCAAGAATAAATTTTCCTGCTAGCAGAGGCCTGGCTGCTAGCAGAGGAACAATAAATTTGACCTACAACAAAAATGTAACTCTTGGAGAAGTTCACCCTACCATGTCTTGAGAAACCGAGCTCCCCCTCTCCCTGGGGAGCTTTGTTACTTACTTGTTTGCAGGTTAGCGAGAGTCTGTCGTTGTTCGTCTCGAGGCATGAGTGCATGACCTGCTGGAACACTAGGGTCTGGCATGTTGGCAATTCTTTCTGCTTCTTCTTGCTTCCATTGATCTTGCCGAACTTTGAGACTTAACAACAACAACAACAACAAAAATGTCTAGTTAATACTGCAAGACAAAACACTGTCTCCACAGCTCCTGTTAAGAGGTTGGTACTACACCAGCAACATTAACGGTAATTTCAAGTTTCTTTGAAAATCAGCTTAAAAATTAACATATCATCACTGTCTGCAGAGTGTAGTCGCGAACAAAACCTTTGGTGACAATGACTGATTTTTGAAACCCTTAACATACATAGTGGGCATAAAAGGGGATAAAATGGGTACAAGACAGGAGGGAGGGGTGGGGGGGTGCAAATGATAAAATCATCTAGTTAACACATTAACATCTAAGATATTAAAATCATTGTTCATCTCAGATGACATAAACATCTCTAGCAAAAATGGCCATTCTTTCTCATTTTAAACCCGTCACCTCCTCTTTTAAGAGGCCTGCGTTGCCAAGGTAATTTAACAGCGTGCAATGAAAGTCATGTCCGATAGCCCGGGGCTAGTGGATTTTGCTGTTAGTAACGTCTGCGAAGCGGCACTGAAATCCTTGTTCTGGGTCCCCAGTCGACTCAATGAGTTACTGGAAATGTGTTTCGAATTTCCCTTCAACCTGATTGGCAAATTAACAACGGCTTTCTTAACAGGCCAATCATAGTACATACTCAAATCCTCCTACACAGGATGGGGCCCAGGACAAGGATTTCGGTGCTGTTTCACAGACGGACTTAACCAGAAGTTAACTTTTGTCTGTGGCGCAGGCCATGACAAACTTAGATTATTTCTAAGTAAACTTACTATTTAGGTACTTTTCCTCTCTTGTAACGTTTTTCAGCTTGTTCCTTTTTAGCTGCAAGCTGCTCCGCTGCTATAACTGAGGGTGGGCGGGGTCTGAGAGGGGAGGGTGCTCTGCGAATATTATCACCAACATGATTTATGTTTCTGACTTTTGGCTTGTGCTGAAACGAAAACACAAACAGATCACAAAAAGCACATACACCTAACAGGAGAGTAAATAGTTTCATTAGAGACCTTAAGATCGAGGTTTTTCTACAGTTCCCGCAAACCTCAGATGTCAAGAAGTCATGTGCCTAGTGCTTTAATCTCAGGTTTGTGGTTTGATGTTCACATTTGTACAGTTACAGTACGCTCGAGAGGTAAGTGATTTACTGCACGGATTTTTGCATCCTAAAACATCACAAATCCCACGCCGTTTGAGAGGATATGCTTCTTTTTAGAACTTTTTGCTATAATAATATAAATTATTATCAAATTCACTTTCATCAAATGTAATTTTGAAAAAATTTCTCAGCTAAACTAGATGTCAACTAATGATTGAAAACAAACATGGAAGCAGAGAATGGTTCAACATATCTAATTTGGGTCAACCCACGAATAAGGATCGGGTGGCCTACATGGGAATTTCGACTGTGAAGCAACTTCAGTTCAACAACGAACTTCTCATGTGCCAAACCTAATGCACAAACTAATATTTATTTTCACTTGTACCCATTTTAGACCACTGAAAATTGTGAAAATAAATTAAGTTTGATGTCTGAATCAATCATCAAACTTGTATCATTTGGTTCGACCTAAATAGGTGTTAAGGTTGGTACATGAAAAGATCGACATTTGAACTGGGCCTAAGAAACACCACCGTAACGCTGACATCTGCACTTGACAAAGAATTTAAAGTGCTTTTAATCAAAGGATCACAATGAAATGTTGTTCAATTTTTATATCACTTGCTTCCACTTATTCCAAGCTTTTAAATTTCTACAAACCTCTTTAGCAATAGTTGCCTTGGGGACAGTAAGCTTCATCTCGCGTGGAATAACAGGCTCACAAGATGTAGGGCGATCTTTAACTGGGGGTCCATTTCTTGAGCCAGCTCGGAGAAATGTTGCAGAGTTTGATCTCTGTAGTGGTGGAGGAGGAGCCTAATAAAGATGAATAGACTTAAGTTTGTCCATACAGTAAGTACTGTTTTATAATAACATGACTTTAATCTAACTTACTATTGTTGAATTTTTCTACGAGATCATAGCTCATTCAGGACAGTTCTTTGATGATGGGAGTGTTTACACTGCACATTATTATGTTACTTTAGAACAAGTCAGAGTGAAAACATCTTCTGGTCAGCAAAATTGACACTACTGACAGGAACTCGAGAGAGTACTCTAGTACTAAGGATGCTAGTCTGTTACTCGATTATGTTTTTCTTCTGAAAAAAGTATCAAGTTAAAATGTACTGTATGTAAAATTTGTAGTTTTCTATTATTAGTAACATTTACTGGCCTAAACCTGGGTGCTGACATTATTTTGTCTTATGTTCAATTTACCCTTGGTTCAACTTTGAAATATCATTTGTCTATCGGTTATCATTGGGTGTGATAATAACTTTGAAGCGTAGGAGAATAAAATTGAAAATGAGTATAAAATATTGATCTGTAAGCAATACTGGGATGAACACCAGTGTTTAACCTTTCTGTCCAGACTGAATTACAAACAGACAAGAAAATATAGAACATTGTTTTCACTTTTAAACCTGTGGATAAAATGTTTTCACATGACCTTTCAAGTAAAACTTCTTCAGTGATACTTTAGTATGGTGTGATCAATAAAATTCTTGTAAATTTACACATTGCCTGAAAACACCATGAAATGGCAGCTGGAATCCTTTAACAACCCCACTGAAAACTGCTTAGGGGAGTGGGCTCCCTGGATACTTGTAAATCTTACTAACATTATTATTGCGCATGGTAACCCTTGTGTAAAAGACTGAACAGGCCCTGGTAATGTTCAAAATGCCGGATAGAGCTATCCACCATATAAATCACTATCCACTAATTAGTATGGGAAACTAATAATAATTGCACTCTCCACAGGGTAGAGATTTATCAGGTGGATAGCGCTCTTCAGCCTTTGAACAACTCTTGGCCAGATGTTTAAACAAACAGCCAGACGACAAAGAGATAATGTAACCTGCAATCAATCCACAATCAAGATGAGACCTTACTCTTAGATGATGATAAAGAATTATTGTTATTAAAGCTCTCCATACCTTCACTTCTTGGGCAACTTTAGAATCCACATGATCAAATTTTCCAGGTTTATAAACTGCTTTAACTGGTTCAGTCGTCATGGCCTCTCTTTGCTTTTCTCTATTTGCTTTCTGGATCTCCTTGATTCGATGTACATTTTCTTTTGCAAAATTCTTCGACTGTGCAGAAGCTGTAAGCAGAAAATTAATCACTGATGGGAATGGTATTCAATATAATTAGCTAAGGTTAAATCATAAGTTGGCTCAGCAGTTCAATAGACCTTAGCTTAATGCAATAGAGTTGTAGGGACAACCTGTTTACAAATTGTCAGATACAGCAGAGATTTTGTCACAAATAGTTATGGTGAGTCCTAGGAATCCTCTTATAAAAAATCATGAGTCCCTGTCCTGAACCAATGAGTCCTAGTAAAGAAAACGAGTCCATAATAATTATTGGAAATGCTTGGGCCTTCACGTAACCAGACAGTTAATCTGAAGACAGACTCCAAATCTCTGTATTACAGTATACTGAAATAAAACATAGTCCTTCTATTTTAAAGCACAACAAAGGCTAAAAGAATTATGCATCATTAAACAACAGCCGTAATTACTGCCACAGAAATTACATGAACAGGCCGGATATTTCTACAAATACACATGTTTAGATCGATCGATCCTCGCGTCCTACAGGAGGCGTGCTATGAATTATTTTGCATCTTTGGGGACTTTTATGCGTCAGGGATGCACTGATACAGAGGAAACTAAATCACTGATACAGTCAACTCTCTGCAATAATGACATCTTTGGGACCGGCATTATGTGTCCATCTGCAACTAGAGTTTTTTCTTTACATTCCTGAGTTCCTTTTTCAAGTAACATGGTCTGTCTCTTACATGTAACTGTTGAAAGAGCATGCTCTCACTTCGACTTCACCAAAACAAAGTCTTAATTAAAACAAATCTATTGGCAAAGTTCTATTTGAGCAACCAATTTGACAGACATGCTACCTACAACACATGAAAACTGGTTGTTTTGATATGAACTCAAGTAGTGAAATTGTACAAAAATTTTGTTCACTTCAAGTACAGTTTGCATGTAAACAAGAAACACATGTTGGGTGAATATTCTTCGTTCTTTAAGCCAACGACATGAAACTATTTACACCTCGACTAATTAAACCTGTATTGAAACAGCTTTGCATTGAAATGACTGGTGAAAATAACCCAAGAAACGAAAATATAATTCACAATAGGCCACATTGTACTTAAATATGTTACCTGCTAAATACGTATACCTAACAAGTAACTGGAATATGGGTTTTGGGTTATTCAAACAATAAAAGGTTGAGATCTGCTGAGTTACAGTTATTTCATTCACCTTACAAGAAGATTAGTTCTTTTTTAACTTTTACTTTTCAGATGACTTCCAAACTCACATAATCAACTAAGCTTAATCTAGGTTAGCCTACACTGCAGATGAAACTAAACTCTGGTTAAGTCCATCTGCAAAACAGTTCCAAAATCCTTGTTCTTTGCCCTTATCTCAGTGTTCCAGATAAGAGATGGGTCTTTAGTCAATGACCCGACAAAGAAGGCTTCCTGACGCAACAAATGACATATAAGTGTTTACTGCTAAGTTAAATAAAACAAAAAAATTAGCACATGGTCTTGGTGACCCCTCAGATGGTCTACATGATCCCCCGCTTGAAAGAACTAACTTGAACGCTGCCATCTGTGTACAAGGATTCGAGTATGCACAATGATTGGCCTATTGAAAATGCATAGAGATTGTTGATTTGCCAATCAAGATGAAAGGAAATTCGAAAATATGCTCTTCCGGTAATCCATCAAGTCTGTTGGGAGCCCAGAACAAGGCCACCAGACTGCTTCGCAGACGTACTAACCAAGGACCATGTGTAGTGCAGCTTAAAATTTCTTTACTGGTTTGGTCTTTACTAGCCTGCGCCACAGAGGAAACTTAACTCTGGTTAAGTCTGTCTGCGAAACTGTGCAACCCCCCCAGGTCTGTGTACCAGGATTTGAGTACATGCCATGATTGGCCTGTTAAAAAAGCCATTCTCGATTTGCCAATGAAGGGAAACTCAAAAAGCACTTCCGGTAATTCATTGAGCCCGTCGGGGGTTCAGAAAAAGGATCTCGGCGCTGCTTTGCAGACGTTACTTAGTTACTTCGCTGACTAAGGTAATTGGTAAGCAAGCCATGTTAACACCGAAAGCCTATATAGCTTATTTTTATTTCAAGGATGTAGTTTATTACTAAAACAGTTCAGCAAATTAAGCTATCTTTTTAGTAAAGCGAATGTCACTTACAAGGTCTTGATCCGATGGAGTACGGTCTGGCTTGAGGATTAAACAGCTGGGCAAGCGTTCCTTGATTCTTAATCGCATTTGAAAGCGCTTCCGGCTTGACTCTTGCCTTTGGTAACCTCTCTGCATAACCTGCACTGTATCTATCTGCGCTTGTTGGCCTTCTTGTTTCGAATCCTGGATCAGTTGGTATTGTCCATGTTGACAACATCTTATCGCGGTTGACTTGGGTTCACTTCCAAACTCAATCGACACCAGGCTGTTCGCGTAATTCTATCATAATATTTCGATGGAACATACTTGACAGTGACTGTTCGATGTTTTGGAATGCAAATCAAGTTGATTTTACCAGAGATTTCCGTGAATCTTTAAAACAATAAACGATAGAGTTCGTAAAGCTGTTATCTTTCCGTTGGTATGCTAAACAACTAAAGAAATCCCACAAGGCAACGCGTTACTATGAAATCGTTACCGCTGGACATATGATCATGATCGCGGCTCGCGGCGCGAAATTTCAGAGGCCCGGAGAGTAGCATAATATGCTACTAGCGGTGCTCCCATATGTCTAAACTTATGGCAATAATTATGCTGGTTTTCGTCAATTTTGCTCATTTTGGCAAAAAATATAGAAATTATGCAGAGATTACAAAAGATACAGAAAATACTGGTAAAAAATATATTTTTTTCCGACCGTAAAATTAGCCTTGCTTCTTTTGTTTAAATTATGCTTCCACTTCCCCCTTTTCCACAGGGGGGTCTTGTTATCCCTTAGTGTGAATCGATTGTTATCCCTTATCCCTTGTTATCCCTTAGTGTGAATCGATTATGTTGAATGTAGAACCAGAACGCAATTTCACTTATCGCTACTTCGCCCCTCCCTTATCCCCAAAATTATTTTGTCAGTCATCCCGTATCCCTTTAATTATTTGTCCAGTTATCCATTATCCCCACAAACAACTAAATGGTAAACACATTTACCCTATTTACAACTAGAAACTTTAATAGCGCATAATTCATTACAAGTTCCCTGTTTTTTTTTTTCACATAATGCACCCGTTGTCGCGGACGCCATCTTGGGTAACCAAGCAAGTTATGCGCATGGGTTGAGTCCAGTAGAAAGATTCCTAGGTCACTCCCTGTGTTACTCATGTCCCATTAAAGCGAAAATATTAATAAGCGGACAAAAAAATTGATTTTTGGTCAAAAATTGGTTGGAAGATCAGTACATCAAAACATTGTGCTGCAAAACTTCTCAAAAGTGCAAATTATGCTAACAGGGCTTTTTTTCGAAAATATAGCTGAAAATTATGCTCGAAATGAAAAATTATGCCGAAAATTACGCTAGCACAATCTATCAAAGCCTAATCGGGACCAGGGGTCCGTTTCCCGAAATTCCCGATACTCTAACGGCCCGCACAGCTGTTTATCGAGGTTTCGAAATTTTTGCAGATGATATGATAAATCCATCAGTTAGCAAAGTCAAATGTACTGGTTTGTATTCTTTATATTATTCGAATTTCGGGCCCGAAAAGTTACCGGGACGTTCGGAGAAACCAGCCCCTGGTGCGCATAATAGACTCCTGTGAGGGACGGAATATTCACTATCCAAGTCAATACACTGGACAATTTTTTTTAAGAGAAACGGGAGACACATTGGACAACCGCACTTTCACCGAACCAGTCCGGGCAAGAGAGAATAAGCTCATTCTCTCTTGATCTCCTTGGTCTGGGGCATTTGAAGTCTCTGTTTCTGATTGATTAGAGTTAATGGTGTCCATACTGAGTGAAGGAAAATATGTGGGAAAAAAAATTTATCAGTTTGTTGTTGTTGTTGTTTGTTTCATTTCGATCAAATTTTGTAAGTCTTCTTGCCCTCTAAAGGATGAGAGCCAGAATTTTACTCATCCAGGTCCGTACAGAAGCGGATCCGATACACACCTCTCAAGTGGTTTGTCCCTATGGTTACCGTTTTGCTACTCCTATTGTATCGGTTTTGATAGAAGAGGAAGCATGACTAGCAACAGAGTATACGTTGGTTAGAAGAGGCCAAATTTACGCAATGAGTTTAAGGCTGAACACAAAATGTCCCAAGAAAAGCTCATCAAAACACATCAACATGGCACAATAATTGTTATTTAAAAACATGTTCTTAAAATTTTAATTCTTTTACCAGTTTTGAGAAGGTTAAAGTGTGAATTTTCTTGAACTTTACATTGACGTTTGAAAGTTGTTACATGCGTTTTATTCATAACTTCACAAATCATAACTCACGACGTATTTTCCTGTCGTTTAATAGACGGAATTGGCGGCAGTAACTTGACACGTGAGTCGAATTTCATTTTAGCGGCCTCCCTGAATTGAACAGAAACAGCTCCATATATTGGTTCCACGTTCCGTAATTAGGCATCACGATCAAGACTGCATTTTCGTCGAAATTCCTGGCCACGGATGTGTAACCACTTATTTGCAACTAAAAAACAACAAAATAAGAGTATAAATAAATGAATAAAATTAACAAATGAGTGTGTTGTGACTGATAAAATGAACGAGCATATGAAAAGGAACGAAGCTGCTCGATTTTCGTATAATTTGGCGTTGGTTGCAGATGTAACGACAGGTGCCGGGCAAGATAGTGACCAAAGGAAGGCACAGATAAACTGATGCGTACGCGGGCGGGTTTCGGTGGAACTTGATCTACTGAGACTGCTTTACTCATCTCAGACCACCAGTACTTGTAGTTTTGAGTGATTCATCGTGCAAAAAAGACAGTGTGTATTGAAATTAAACTGATCAGTGTTTGAACACCCACCCCATTTATTGCCGCAAAGGACTGGACATGCTGCATGCTCTGTATCATAGTCTCCGTCACCTGATCTTTTTAAGTTGTACCAGAATACTGCGTCCCCCTGAAAATCACATTACAGATTTAGTAGGAAGTGGATCTAACACTTTTAGTTTTTTAACAATTATTTTTCGAGCTCAAATGGGCTCTGAGTCAATAGCCCATGAGGCCAAAGCCCATTGGCCGAATGGGCTATTGACTCAGAGGGCATGAGGGCGAGAGGAATAATTGTTTTAGTATAATTCAGCCAGTTTGTCAAAAATGTCGAGACAAAACAACTTTAGCTAGCAAAACGCGATTCAGCCGTTATTGTTTTGGTTTTTAAAGCCGGCGCTTTTCGCTACTAGTGGGCTATAACATATAGCCTAGTAGTAGCTCAACCAATCAGAACGCGGCATTGATAATAGACCACTAGTTGGATTTTACTAATGAATAATAGACTACGAGTAGTCCCTCATTTTCCCTCAGGGACAGTAGAGCGAACGAACGCGACCGCGCGTGACAGTCTATTGAAAAGAGGCCTCTATCGACACCTAAATAGCTAGAGAGGGTGTGGGGCCAACAGATCCCCTCTTGGTAGGGCGTAGTAATGAATTTGATAACTAAGACGGATGAAACTTCTTACAAAATGAGAGGTGACGAGACAGGCGGGCTAAGATAAGACTCTGATGATCGGGAGTATGGCTTCATTTGATAAGTAAAAAATTTGGTGCGTATGAGAAGAAGAGTATGCTCGTCTAAAGACTTCAAATACGGTTGCAAGCCTTTCCATAGTTGGCTGTTACCAGTACTACTTCATATGGTTATCACTCTGTTTGCCCACCTCCCCCAAATTTTGCATAAACCATTGTTTTCATATGCTCCTGGGAGTATAGCCTCCCACGCAGACGTTCTTCGGGGTTCGTCACGCGTTCCTGCTCCACTAAGGTTAGTGCGGCAGGAACGCGTGACGAACCCCTGAGAACGCTTGCGTGGGAGGTTACTGGGAGTACTGCATTGGAGGGGAAACAGAGTGTATTATGGGGGATTCGAAAATAGTCAATACTAACTAAAAATAATTAATTGCATTAATGTTATCGAATTCATACCTTAGTAGGAGCGACATACGTTTTTGCCTTTGTAAATACTGTGTAACCTCCCGCGCTGACGTCATTCAGCTGTTAAGGTAATAGAAATAAAGTTTAGTCATCGTCATTTAAGTTTCACTTGAAAAGATCATCGCATTGCAAGCAGGTAAGAAAAACAGAAAAGGATCAAACCCATGACCTCTGCAATATCGGTGCAGCGCTATTTACTAAGATATCATGCCAGCTAAGAGCTAGTCACTTTGTGAAAGCCGAGGCTTTGTTTTCGCAACTGCTTAAGTTATGTGCATATCTGCGATGATCGTTCTCGTGCAAAATCATTCTCCCTCTTAGTTTATTTATTCACTTCTTGTGTTGATGATGATCAATGATTACTAACGCCGAGGAGCAATAAAGAGACTGAAGAGATAAAGCAAAATAACTCATTCTGAATCTACATACATAAATAAGAACTGTGGCAACGCGGTTTCCGTTCGGAGATAAGTCCAAAGGCGAACCAGGGTCCTAAAAATAATAATAATAAAAAGGGATAAGCCTGGTGCATGATACGGAACAAACCACTGACCCCTGGATCGGTGCGATGGGTCAGACTGGCAGGCACCCTATTGTCCAAGGAGAGTTTTTGATCGGTGCCATTCATTTGCATCTTGCATGAACTTCTTAATTGTTCCAACCTGCAAAAACAACCTTCAAAAATGTACAACACCTTTTTTGGCGCACTTCCAATCGGTGCAGCGTGTGTAATCAAAAGCAGGAGCCCAAAAGGCATTATTGCAGGCCTGATTACCCCAACAAACAATTCTACAGAAAGTGAGCTTGCCAGGCGTTCTGCTCCTATACCATAAGACTGGATAATAGCCTGCATAACAGGCTTTTTTTTTTTTGCTTTTTTCAGGAGAGCCAAGGCAAGCGCAAAGAGAGCGAAGAGCATGCAAAAAATAAACGTCGGTTATGTAGGCTACTGGAGAAAAGCATTCGTACCCAGTTTCACAGGGGTGCCGTGGTCGGCAGTAAATTCGAACGACCTATTTGATGACTTTTACACTACATGTAAAGAAGGTAATTGGGCTGAATTCTGGCTTAATGACGGATGAAGGCTGCTACTTACTCCAAAATCCATGTGATATTCATATTGTCCAGCCATGCCATAGTTTGCAATCTGGTAAATGCAATAATACAGTATAGTACTTGTCATTAAATAAACAGTTGAGCAAAACATATATTCGGCTTATAGTGTTGGTCTCGTTTAAAGTCATGTTAATCGCATATCCGGCTTTTATCGATCATAGTAGACGTCCTAAAATTTCAAATTTTGCGACTTCATCGGTAAAAAATGCGGCTAATTGGAGCAGGAAACCTGGTGAATGTTGCAGTTTGTTTTGGTTTTACGCGTGTTTGATAGAGACGGAAGGGCGCAAATAAACTATATGATCATGACTTGTATAAGATTATTATATTGCTGTCCCAGACATGCTAGATGAATGTGTACGGTAAAATACTGAGTTACTTTCCGTTTTTCTCATTTTTCATTTTTACTTATAGAATGACCTAAGGATCAGAAAACGCAACGACTGAAAACGAAACTACAACGGGGACTGGGGATTTGTCTTATTTAGAATACCTGCAAAGGCTCTGCGGTAGTCATTTCCAGGCCTGTTACGGCTCCAATTCGTCTGTTCAGTCTTGCCACGACTTCACTGTCTTCGCTTTCCAGCCAAGCACTGCATTATAAAACTCCTTCAGTATATTACTTCCTATTTATTGTTCCCTTTTTTTAAATTTTTGCTCACTTTTCCCCGAACGTATAGTTTAATATAAGTTTATACTATTTATCGTTTCTTCGTTCGTTCTATAATTAATTCCTTCATTCTATCCTTCCTTCCTTCCTTCACTTTTTGATTGATTGATTATTGATTAAAGCTGATTGATTCATTGATTCATTGATTCAAGTCATTCAATTCATTTGTTCATTCATCCTTCTTTCATCCTCTTTTATTCTCTGACGGTCTTGTATTGCATGACGCCATGTACTTTGATAACTAGTTTAGTCTAACATTTTTCCATTCATTCATTTCGGCCTCTGTACTCAGACTAACTATCAAGGCCAGACTCATAACATAGTTAAAAAAGCAAAAAAATATCACGTCGCAAAATAATGAGAAACACAAAGTAAAAAGTGACTGCTGCCAAAGAGGTTTTATTTGAATTGCACATTGCTGTTCAAGGATTTCGTCCAGGCGCCAGTTGTTCGAAATGCGGATAGCGCTGTCCATTGGATAAATAACTATCCACTGGATAGCGCAATTGGTTTCCCTAATACTTATCCGGTGGATAGCGATTTATCCGATGGATAGCGCTATCTATCTTTTGAACAACAGGGGCCAGACCTACAAGTTAACGTTCTGACGCGTAACCGTACCTTTTGCTTACTCGATAATCAGCGTTTTCAAGTTCACCAGTCTCCTTGTTAAATACTGTTGCCCTTTGCAGCTACCAAGGCCAAAGAAAATGAGGCATAGTTAAAGAAATTAACAAAATTTGTAGTTAAAACAGCTAAGTTGGTAATAAAGGTGGCTAAACCGAGTATAAAAATGCCATAACAGCGGCTGTAGTCATCGGAACAATTCGCAGTTTACACTAAAACAGGCTTTAGTTTCATGCTTCTCTTTCTCTCTACGCAAGTATCAATGGTAATACATAAACACTAACACTAATACTCTAATGACAATAATAATTGAAATGGAACATAACATGGTTAAGAATCCCAACTGGCCGGGGGCAGACCAGTTGGCCGCACAGGCGTGGCCGAAGATTTGATCTCGGAACTACCGTAGCTGGCGGTCAGGGCAGGACTTGACCTCGGGCCTCCAAATTACAAGTCCAGTGCCCTAACCGTTCAACCACGCCGCCTCCTTCTAAACACTTAAACAACGTTATTATTTCAGTTATAACAGACGCCCGCTTTCTTTGGGTCATAAAATGAACTCCTGGTTATAATTAATAACATGGGCCCTTTGCAACTTGTCAGTCACGTGTACAAAAAACGCCATGCTGCAGAACATGAAACACATTGGGCTAATATAAGCTAGACCTCTCTCGATCTGTGAAACACTTTCTCTCATCCCCCGGAAATTGCAGCTAGGTCGAAACGCAAGTTTCTTGCGTCCGATTAGCCCGAAAATCACACTAAAGAAGGGAATTTATAAAAAGGAGAGGAAAATATTAGCGAGGAGAAAGGAAAGAGAGGCAGAGAAAAAAGCAATGTTTTCTCTGCTTGTTTTTTGAGCACTTACATTTTCAAAACGTGAACCAGCTTAAAATATTTTACAAGAAATTGTATCGTCAACTGTTATTGGATTACAGGGATATATGGAATACGAGATATTCAAGGCAAAATTTAAAGGGGTATGGGTTGCACTTCACTAAATGAAAACTCACCTTGGGCGTGGCTATGTCTTTTATTTGTTTTGCTTCCACAGGGCTCAGGAGGTCTCTAAATATAAAGATCCGGGGTTTTCGCCATACCATTTCGACTTTAACAGGTCTGAGCATGAGCAGAGGGTCCTTTTTGTTTTCGTACCAGCAAATGAGGTTACTTTGAGGGATACTCTGAGTAAGAAAAAGAACTCATTAAAGTGACGATAATTTATACTTTCTCTACTGCAATAGGACCGTTCAGTAGCTCGCTGTCACGTTACCTGCTTAATCAAAAAAAGTACGGAATACAACTTAAAATATACTAGAGATAGAAAGAGTATGATGAAGTTAGCTAATAAGCGAATTTTGAGGTAACTGACACAAAAGACTAAGATTTTCATAAATGTTGGAATGTCTGAAAAATTATACATAACGAGCTAATGCAATGAATTTGTTGTTAGGAATGTGTTCTTCGAAACATAAATTTGGGTTGCCTGTGGGAGAAAAAAGTAAAAGCCATTACCTGACTTGTGTTTCCCCTGCATAGTGTTGCATACTCGCCCTGTGTGAATGCAGCTGTGTTGATTGCCTCCTCCTTAGCCTTTGTTTGCTCATACGTTTCAGTGGTTCCATGTTCAGCGACTCGCTTGTAGTGCATGACATTTTCTTTGGCCTGTCTGCTATGAGGAACTACAATTGAAACATTGTTACCAACCAATTTTGTAAGGTAAAGTTCGTTGCAGATTTTATAAAGTGTGCTACTGTCGCCAGACGTGTGCAAAGATGGATAGGTGGAATCGACAAGTCGAGAGCTGGGGAGGGCTAGGCCGTTAACGTACACGCAGCCTTGCGTTTAGATTTTGTCTTGCGCTCCTCTTTTAAAAAGAAACTAAAAAGGGGACCAGAGAGATACGTAGTGAGGGCGGCGAGAGGGTAAGGAGAGGGTGACCTATGCATTTGGGCGTTTCTATTAAGGCTTACTGTAATCCTCTGCAAGGCCTCTTTTTAGAAGAAAATGTATTAAGGCCCCTTCCCCCTTATTCTAGCTCTTCACAATCAATATTAATAAATGATAGATTGTGGTAATTAGCTACGACTGCAGCACTTGCTTCATGTAGACTGATCCGGTATCGTTTATTCACGTGCTAGAAGTTCAGATTTGTTTTTGATCTTCGGCCTCATGACCTCCTGACTTCATGTACTTGAGTTCTTTCACCTTATGTGTAAGTTCTTTACGGCGAATTGACCATCTTCTGGTTGTTTGAAAAGCAGTATAGCGCCCCATTTCGCTAAATAAAATACCCCCCCCCCATGTGCTTAAATAAATGTAAGCGTCCCCATTTTCCCCACCCTGCTTGACGCTCCAAGATGTATATGGTTCCCTTAAACTTCGTTTCATAAGTAAGCAGAAATCGAAACTAATTATAGTACTGATGTACATTGAGGTTCTGAAATACGTTATAACGTATGATTCCTTTCCAGCTCTTAACAAAGTAATGAAAGACTCAGTTTTCAATTTAATACCGGGAAAAGAAATCTTACCATTTTTTAATATTTCCAAGGTTAGATTTAGAGAACGTTCCGGATTCCCTTTCTAAACAAGGAAAAGAAACGAGCCTTAGATTTTTAAAGTAAAAGATTTCACTAAATTAGCTTGCAAAGTCGGGGATAACCTTTTAGTTGATAACAGCCAGTTGACTTTGAGCTCGAGTTGCAGTGGGAATCGAGCAAGAAATTAAAACTAAAACACGAACTCGAACTGTATTGTTCGACCCCGCCCTAGTCCCCTTAGTAGTGGCTCGGGTCCTTGCATGGCCTGGAAGCATCAGTATGACCTCGGATTGACCGACTACAGAAGAGACTATGATGGCTCCTTGACACTAAGTCTGCCCTTCCACAAACTCAAGGTGTTGTTCAAGAGACGATAGTGGCCCACTATTCTATCCTTTATGTAATGACTGCCCAGCGGTTTTTTTCTGACATTATTATTCACTGTAACTTTTCAGGGGCACCCAACGGGAAATTTTGAGAAAAAGACCTAAAAACAACAAAAAAGCGTGAATAAAGTTTTCTGAGATTATTTTGAGCATTTTGGGAGATTGCTGGAAAAAATTATCTGTTCCTCACTCCCAGCAAGACTGATGGAAGAGTTCCCAGCCAACAACCTTACAACCTGCAACCTGACTTACTTGGAAGTTTCATAGGGCACAATTCAGATCTTGAGTGGTAAGCAACCCATACAAGTAACCCGTAGCAGCTATTCTAGACTTCAAATCCCCTCTGACACCCTGAATTATCTTTTTCCCAGCAACACTTTCTTTCCAAGGACAATTATTTCTTCCAAATCTCCCAGCCAGCAAAAATGTGCCTGAAAAACAGATATTTTGAGGAACAGATCCATTGGGTGCCCCTGACTTTTTGTGTCCTCTGTACAGCCGCCCCTACCCTCAGAAAAAATCCGTGAAAAAGACGACGCTATATTTTTTACTGTTCAGAAAAAGGGTACCTTGCTAGCTAATCGATCGTCAACCGAGTCACCTCCCCCTTAATCTGCCAATTAGGCCACTGAGTGATTTGAATTGTCTTACGATAAATTCCACCCATGCTAAGTGTTCCAAGACTTCTGTGTGATTTATTGCTCCTTCGTGTTTCCCACGACGGGTCAATTTATCTGCCATCCTAAGCCAGTCCAGGCCCTGTCCGTATCTCCCTGCTTGATAAGCCAGCACCCCTAGTTCAAAGCAGTCCTCTGCTAAAAGCTCTGGAGCAGGGCCACATCCTAAAAGTGAAACACAGAAATCTCTTAGAGAGGGTCCAAATATAATGGCCTTTGCAGTCAGATATTCACCTGGTACAAAACCACACTTCAAAAAAATACGAATAAATCACAAAACCAGAACGTTTTCTTGACTTTTTGACAGCCATAAGATGCATCTGTTAGCCTTTTTGGGCCATTTTACAGTCCCTTTCACGTACTTCAACCAGTGAATCCCTACCCTTTCATATACCTGAAGCCTGAGAGTGGTACCCCTTCCGGGCGGAGCCTCTCTGTATGGGCCATTTTAGGGAGTACGCCCCAGGACTTGGCATGGTTTTATACCTACATATAAATGCTTTTTTTTATTCACCAATTTATTGAGGTACGAAATCATTTTTTATTCTCCTGAAGCATTATTTTGCTTTAGCCACTTCACGTACCGGTTGTCACTTCTCTCCGTCCGGAAGGAAAGAAGCGACACACGGAACTATGTCTACGTTAATCGGCGGGTCGTACCCAAAATCATGTGACGTCCTAATTCAAACCGTCCTTTGGGCCCATATTCAGTGCGGCGCGAATACCGTGAACTTCCTCGGCAGTTTGACCTGCTGGTAGTCAGCGTAGCTAGCGTTTTTCGCACGAGCTTGTTGAGAAAGTGGGAACACGATCAAGAAAGAGGAGTGACGGGGCAGCACAATAACTCGAGCCTTATAGCTACCTAATTTTTATTTTGCTTACCTGGCATATTATTGTTTATCATATCAACACTTGATATATTGTATGTATCTTGAAGACGATACAATGCTGCCATGGCTCCCACAAGGTCTTCGTTGTAATTAGGGAACTGCCACTCGTTTGTCCTCAGTAAATCTTGCAAATCTGTACGAGCAAAGTATAAGTAAACGGAAAACTTGGTCACGTGATTCAAATTGAACATTGCTTAAGGAGTAAGCTCTTTGAAATTTTATCTAAATCTAATGACTATCTTGAAATCACTGAAATCATGCATCAACTTAAATTTAACTAGCTCAGGAACACGACTTAAGCTATATATTCTCTGTGTAATTCACATTGTCATTTAGATAGCTTAATTCATACCATAATTCTTATTTTACGACAGCTGGTACTGTTTGAACAATATTTCTTTTTTTTCCTTTACTTTCTTTAAATTTGTGTCTCTTCCCCAGCCTCGATTCGGCTCTTCTATACGCGGGTGGAAGCCGTCGTGAATGTTGTAATTATATGTGTGAATGAATGAATAAAGTTGAAGGTTGAAATTTGAATTGCCAAATAATCATCGTAAACGTGATTCTAATGTCATGTTCACACTATTTAGGGGATATCATTTCGTGCCCACACAAAAAGCTATGTCCGGTATAGTATGAATACCTATCCAATATTTCTCTTTTCAGAACAGTCTCCATACTGAGAGAACTTGATTACAGGACTATTAATTAACGGAACAATTTAGAACCTTTTCTTAAATTAATCCAATCTGTTCACATTTTTAAACGTCTCTTAAGGAACCAGCTTTTAGAAAACTTTGTAAATGATTCCTAGTTAAGTTTAAAAAGACAGTATCGTAATTAGTAATTAGTTAAGCATTACAATTAGTACTAAGTTAAGTGTTGTAATTAGTTAAATCATGGTAATGCTTGTGAATAATGATTGTTCCTGAAAAGCCCCTTTGGGGAGGAAACAATAAAGTATGTCAAGTATTTATATGTGACTGAATCCACTTTAGAGGTCGACCCGCCGCCGCTTCGCTCCGTTACAGAAATCGTTTTAAAATTACAGTAATAGAAGCCCTATCGAGGGGATGGCACGGTGCCGCGTGGAGGCGCGACAGTATAGTGTGATCATAGGCTAAATCTATGATCGCAAATATAGACATAGACCAGTGCCCACACGTCGAGCTCAAAATTTTTCACGATCGCGAAGCGCAAGTGGGAGATTTTAGACTACGAGCAGTCTCTCTTTTTTCTTGGTCCGTCGAGCAAAACGCCCGAGACACGCAAATGACCACGTGCATGACTGAAGGCGCAACGCTCGCGCGCGCGTGCACTCCCCTTAGTAAATCTGAAGAAAAAGAGAGACTGCTCGCAGTCTAGGGAGATTTTAATTACTTTTTGTGCGGTAACGGAGGAAGCGAGAGAGCGGAAGCTCCATCCCCGTCCTTCGCGCTGGACCCTACTACCGGAACCGGAAATGACATGCAAAGGACTTTGAGAAAGACTAGTATGGGCAAAGAGAGTTCAGAGAGAGAATCGTAAACACGTGCCCCACCTCCCAGATCACGCGCATCGTATTCTAACGTCCAGCGTCCCTACTATCTGAGATCCTGGCACAGGCTACCCAAGTAGGAAGATTAATTCAGGTGGTTCGAAGGAAATCGAATACTATTTTCTTTAGGAGCTTATTTCAAAGAAAAGGTCTGTTTAAATTTAGTCTGGACGATAGCACGCGCTAGGAAACACAGCTCAGGACTGTGGAATCATATTATTTGACCATGCGTGAAAAGCGTGGAAAACGCGCAGATCAGCCGGACAGCTAAGTTCAAACGNTTTATGATAATGATGACGTCTTTATTTTGGTTTCTTTCATAAGTATTGTTATTCTTTTCTTAGTTGTCGCCTTCTCCCAAATTAACTTATGCCAAACCAGTAGCATGCAAGAAAGCCAGTAAAAACAAATTCGTCTTGTCGAGCGCTCGCGAGCTACTGCGAACTTCAAACATGATTTTCACCGTTGGTGCAAACAGATAACCATGTGGTGCAAAAGTTTGAGAATAGAAAAATATATAAGCTTTCGAATGAAGTGATTTTTTGGGCCCCCTTTTTTGTCTGTTTCGCCCTTTTTGCTTTTAAACTTGGCGCGACGGCAAAGTTATGCTTACGCTATTGGTTTATATACTAGACCGGAAATAAAAAGCTGACCGGATATTAAATTTTGTGCTCATGCGCATTGCGTTTTGCCGCGGTGTTAGTATGGGCAAAGAGAGTTCAGAGAGAGAATCGTAAACACGTGCGCTACCTCCCAGATCACGCGCATCTTATTTCAACATCCAGCGTCCCTACTATCTGAGAGCCTGGCACAAGCTACCCAAGTAGTAAGATTACTTCAGGTGGTTCGAAGGAAATCGAACACTATTTTCTTTGGGATCTTATTTCAAAGAAAAGGTCTTTTTTAAAAATTTAGTCTGGATGACAGCATATGCTAAGAAACAGAACTCAGGAAATGGAATCATATTATTTGCCTATGCGTGAATAGCGTGGAAAACGCGCGGATCAGCCGGACAGCTAATTTCAAACGACCATTTTGATAGCAGACACTGTACCAGGGTCTAGTTTAAATTAATTGTTTAGTATTGCTGTTATTATTCAAGAGCAATTTAGCACAACGATTGATCTAATCAAATTGGGTCAATCAACCTGATTAAATTAATTGTTAGTTATTTACTTACTCTGAGAGTAATCCTTGCTTAAAAATCCTGCCAACTCTGTCCATCCGTTTGCAAAGCGTTTTATAACAGCATATGTTGCAGTCGGATTTTCGAGAACTTTCATTCCATCTTTCTTAACTAGTTCTGTGGCTTCTTTTACGCGTTTCGCGAATTGTTTGATCTCTTGCAATCGTTTATTCTCCTGCTCGAGAAATCTTTCCAAACTTTCACCCAGTTGAATTTCTAAGTTCACAATTTTCTCGAGTTGTGCTATGGATGCAAAACTATCGCCAGCCACTGACGATTTTCGTCGAAAATTCCCACAGACAGCCAGAAATATGAAAACATATAAATATCGACGGTCCATTTTGTCGAGCGTTCTTGTGTCAGAGCATGTGATTTGTGGTTTTGTTTGCTCTAGCCAGATTTCAAAGGGGAAGCCTTTGAAACATTAATTATTTATTGCAAACATTTCTGTACTTACCGAGCAAAAAGATTTTGGAAAAACCTTAATACCTTGTTGGAAAACCGTACATTGCTTTTAACTCAACCTACACAAGTCTTAAAGTAAAAAAATTTTCTCTTTCTCTTTTTTTTATAGCAAGGCAAACTTTGTTTCTTTTTCTTGTTAAGTTTTGTTTTGATTTGTGGCTCAAACACTTAAAAAGCAGGTGGTCAGCGGGTCTTGCTATTGTTCATAAAAAACGGAACTTCAGGAAATACCTACATAAGTGTATTTCCAAGTTTGGCATCATATTTACTTCGATGTGACAGGCGGAGTCAAAACAAGGGAACATTGGAACTTTATTCTCTCTAGCTTGGAGAGAATTTCTGTGAAAGAAACAGAAACAAGTTCCTTGAAATAAGTATGAACAGTTGCGACAGAAATTAATGGATGAAAAACGTTGGATGGTAATATATATAGCAGCATTCAATTGGGAGAAGTTAGGGAGAGACTGGGGTGAGCAAAAGAGATTTCCTTCCCTCAGTTCCCTGGACCGTAATCCGGCTTCAATATTTCATTTTTCCAAATCGGCCAGCAAATAACAGAGACGTTATCGTACATGCATGAGACTAGGAGAGATATGCATGAGGGAAAGAAAGGAGAGAAACGACCGATAAGGCTTAGTACAAAAAACAACAACATCAACTACAACAACAAAACTTGATCAAACTTTTTCAGGGGAAATGGGCTGACGAGTCCACGCCTAGGGGAGAGAATAAAGTTCAAGGACTCTAAGGCCTGGTTCAGACGCCGTACTTTCCATGTGCCGAACCTAACTGAATAAGTTCGACTTTGGAGCGACACTGGCGCGACATCTGATTCAGACAGCATACCGTGTGTCGAACCTAAGTTAAGTTCGACAAACGTTCGACAGACTGTGTCGAACTTAACGCTTTTGCCGCACCAAACTAAAAATGCCGTACCAAAATGATTCAGACGCCGCTCTTCAGTTAGGTTCGGCTCATGAGCGGAGCGGCGTCTGAACCGGGCCTAAGATCCTCTGCAAGCCGAAGAGCTTGCGAACTCCCCAATTTTGGCAAAGACAGCTGATGCAACGCCTAAAAAATGAAAATGAAAATTCGTCCTAGTCAGTTGGACGGATCTGAAAATTACCCTGAGCTGCCTGAAAGCACTGAAACATTCTCTCCTGAGTCCTGATTGCGCCCAGTTTTCGTTTTGAAGAGTCAGAGCGCGCGAAAAAAGACACACAAATGCCGCGAAAAGTTGCGTGACGTCTATACCTGTCACAGAAGACATTTTCGTTTCGTTTTTCAAATCCTATTGTCATTTTACTAAATTTTTTCGAAATTGAGATTGTTACGTGAAGTTTGTCATGTTTCGCGATTTCTACTTAAATGTCCTTTAGATAAATAATTGATTGTTGCAATGAATGAAGCGATTCATTCCTCTTCTTGGCAGGTTTTCATTCCGCTGCGACAAATGTTAAAAGAATTTTGAAATCGCCTGTGTGTACCAAAAGGCATATTTTTAAAGTTTTCTTAGCACTTCCAAGGTAAATTTTTTCCGCAACGCATACATTTAAAAGTATAATGACTGCAAATTACCATAAAAAGGTTAATTTGGAAGCGATACATGCAAGGATAGCGTGTTTTAAGTTTCGTGTTTACGACGATAAATAGTGAAATTCTCATTACATTCGTACTTTTTTTATCTTCTTGAAATCGTCTCGGCCGCGTTTCCGACTTGCGGTGGCTCTGTGCTGCTGGCAAAATGGCTGGAGTGCTATGGCATCGATCGCTCCCGTTGACAGTAATTTTTAGTCTCATATTCAGTAGTATTCGGGCTGAACTTTTCACAGCTGTTGTGGAGTTGGAGAATCTTGTATACAGAGAACGAGAAATGAGATTCGAATTGGAGAGATATCTTAGTTTAGAGCAAGAGCGATTGTCCAAACTCAAGATGTTTCTCACGAAAGTTAATGCGGCTCATGAACTGGTCGGTGACGATGTTTCCCGTTATTTGGGACATCCTGTGAACTCTTATTTAGAAATCAGGAGATTTTATAAAGAATGGCCTGAGGTTGAAAGATTAATTCAGCTGGATAATTCGGAGGGTAAGATTTATCTTATGTAAAAGCTAAGTAGAAATTTACGCCCGTTATATTTTTTAGCTCATTTGGTAAGCTTTTTACTAATACAGTGAAATTAGCCTATTATTTCTATACAACTCTGTTGGTTATTGATCATTTCGTACTTATCGGACTTCCTTTGAATTCGCTCATCGATCAGCTGCTGAAATATGTTAATTATCCTTATTTACAAAAACAATGAACACTCTCATGTCGATTCTTCACTAATCAGTGCAGTGTTAACTAAAATTCATTTCTTTAAGCTTAGATAATCGTTTAGATAATTTCCCCAAATTAATACATTTAATAATGCATAGGCAATTTGAAACGTTTTGAACGCTGCAGTGTATTAAAAAATCACCAAAGTTATTATCTTAGTTTCGTTACACCATCTTGCATACGTGTCAATTATTCCGTTCGCTGAAATTAAAATAAGGCTTGACAACATAAGGGTAACTTACCAACTGATTCTAGCCCTCTAGGTGAATCTGGCGAATGAATTCTTCACAGATACCCTATTTAAGACGCTAATATTAGCGGAACTGAGGTTACATATATCTCCCTAACATGGCACCAGATGAATTTTCGACCCGTTGAAAATTCTTGTGTCTAGCTAGGTGTTCCTTTCACAGGGAACTACCTTTTAGATGCATAGCCATTGAAAGTTTTGTGTGATCAGAGTGAAAATATTGAATGGTCCCTTGTGAATTAAGTGTCCAGTCAAATTTTTCAGCCAGCGAATAATTTGTTCGGTGCCATTAGTTGAATGACCCTGAATACCTATAGACAAAAGGACCTTGAAGACTGTTAACCCCGTTTGCCCCAACTCCCTCCTGGCTTCCTGGGGTCCAGGAGGGACTTCAACTACAGTGAAACATGTATTAAGCAGACACCCTTGGGGAATGCTGTAGTGTCTGCTTAAAAATACAGGGTGTCCGGCTAATACAGGTTTCGATAGATAACGTCATTTGAGGTGTCAAATGCCACTCAAATGAACAGTGGAAACATTTAGCTGTACTCGCAGAGACTATGACGATATACATTTGCATAAATTTATTTATTTAAGTGGACCAGTTGATCAAAGTACCATAAACATAGATTGCAACTCAAATTTGAAGAAGGATGAGTGAAACAAGCTCTTTACAAACAAAACGAAATAGAAAACAATACTGTACTGTGAAACTCATCAAATAAGTTCGTCAAGTCACGTTTTTTAATGTAAAAATTGAAAAATTTGTGGATGGCAATCTTTCGCATTTCCGGTGTCTGGCATGTTTGGTGGTGGAATTTAATTACAAGTGTCCATTTAATACAGGTTGGTAACAATAGAAATGACCATTTCAGGTACTTTTTAGGTGTCTGTGTCCGCTTAATAGAGGTGTCCGCCTAATAAAGGTTTCATTTAAAGTAAATAAGGGAAATACATTTGGGGACTTCGGCTACTGTCCGCTTAATAGAGGGTGTCCGCTTAATACGGTGTCCGCTTAAGACAGGTTTCACTGTATTGATAATTTCATATCTCCATTAGAACTGATTATGCAATCAGTGCACGGTGGCCCCTGGCACCCAACTTTTGCCCCCTGGCGACTAGAAATTCTTAGATTTTTCATAGAAATCATTACCCTGCAAGCAGAGTCTCCTTCGTCCGACTTATCTAGGAAGATTGAAGGAGACTCTGCTCGCGGGGTAAGGAATCATATGCTGGGTACCCAGGATTTCACAGGTTCAGAGCACTGGGCCCCCTTCAGGTTTTCTTAGAGCACAGCCTTGTGCAAGTTGAGGAGTTTAAAGCTCCTGTCAAGAGGCAATGGTTGATTCGTTCTTTGCACTTCTGTTAATATTTATACATTATTTTATCACTTTGATCTTTTACTTGTAGCTGTGAGCGATGCGATAGCAAAGCATAAAGAATCTTTCCCATCTAAAGAAGACTATGATGGAGCAATCACAGCACTTCTGCGTCTTCAAGATACATATCAACTTCAGCCTTCAGCATTTGTTCAGGGCAAGTTGCCTGGTTCTGTACCCTCACCAAAAATGCATTTGAGTGAAGTTTATGATGTGGGTAGACATGCATATCTGAACAGCGACATGTTTTACACCAAGTCNTTAAAATAAGGCTTGACAACATAAGGGTAACTTACCAACTGATTCTAGCCCTCTAGGTGAATCTGGCGAATGAATTCTTCACAGATACCCTATTTAAGACGCTAATATTAGCGGAACTGAGGTTACATATATCTCCCTAACATGGCACCAGATGAATTTTCGACCCGTTGAAAATTCTTGTGTCTAGCTAGGTGTTCCTTTCACAGGGAACTACCTTTTAGATGCATAGCCATTGAAAGTTTTGTGTGATCAGAGTGAAAATATTGAATGGTCCCTTGTGAATTAAGTGTCCAGTCAAATTTTTCAGCCAGCGAATAATTTGTTCGGTGCCATTAGTTGAATGACCCTGAATACCTATAGACAAAAGGACCTTGAAGACTGTTAACCCCGTTTGCCCCAACTCCCTCCTGGCTTCCTGGGGTCCAGGAGGGACTTCAACTACAGTGAAACATGTATTAAGCAGACACCCTTGGGGAATGCTGTAGTGTCTGCTTAAAAATACAGGGTGTCCGGCTAATACAGGTTTCGATAGATAACGTCATTTGAGGTGTCAAATGCCACTCAAATGAACAGTGGAAACATTTAGCTGTACTCGCAGAGACTATGACGATATACATTTGCATAAATTTATTTATTTAAGTGGACCAGTTGATCAAAGTACCATAAACATAGATTGCAACTCAAATTTGAAGAAGGATGAGTGAAACAAGCTCTTTACAAACAAAACGAAATAGAAAACAATACTGTACTGTGAAACTCATCAAATAAGTTCGTCAAGTCACGTTTTTTAATGTAAAAATTGAAAAATTTGTGGATGGCAATCTTTCGCATTTCCGGTGTCTGGCATGTTTGGTGGTGGAATTTAATTACAAGTGTCCGTTTAATACAGGTTGGTAACAATAGAAATGACCATTTCAGGTACTTTTTAGGTGTCTGTGTCCGCTTAATAGAGGTGTCCGCCTAATAAAGGTTTCATTTAAAGTAAATAAGGGAAATACATTTGGGGACTTTGGCTACTGTCCGCTTAATAGAGGGTGTCCGCTTAATACGGTGTCCGCTTAAGACAGGTTTCACTGTATTGATAATTTCATATCTCCATTAGAACTGATTATGCAATCAGTGCACGGTGGCCCCTGGCACCCAACTTTTGCCCCCTGGCGACTAGAAATTCTTAGATTTTTCATAGAAATCATTACCCTGCAAGCAGAGTCTCCTTCGTCCGACTTATCTAGGAAGATTGAAGGAGACTCTGCTCGCGGGGTAAGGAATCATATGCTGGGCACCCAGGATTTCACAGGTTCAGAGCACTGGGCCCCCTTCAGGTTTTCTTAGAGCACAGCCTTGTGCAAGTTGAGGAGTTTAAAGCTCCTGTCAAGAGGCAATGGTTGATTCGTTCTTTGCACTTCTGTTAATCTTTATACATTATTTTATCACTTTGATCTTTTACTTGTAGCTGTGAGCGATGCGATAGCAAAGCATAAAGAATCTTTCCCATCTAAAGAAGACTATGATGGAGCAATCACAGCACTTCTGCGTCTTCAAGATACATATCAACTTCAGCCTTCAGCATTTGTTCAGGGCAAGTTGCCTGGTTCTGTACCCTCACCAAAAATGCATTTGAGTGAAGTTTATGATGTGGGTAGACATGCATATCTGAACAGCGACATGTTTTACACCAAGTCCTGGATGGATGAGACTTTAAAGTTGTACCATGCAGGAAATGAGCTTGAGGATGTAAACCTGTTTGACATTTATGACCATCTCTCATTTTCAGAGTACAAGGTGATATTTTATTGTGAAGACAGTGTTTTTTGATGCTTGTAATGAATATACTAGTTTTGCAATTCCAATAATTATTACTCATGTACAGTGTAAATGTTATAATATTGTGTAGTTCCAGAAACTATCCAACCCCCCCCACCACTTGCTTTAGACCCTCCACCCCCTTTGAATTTCCATTCCAGGGGGTGCTTGTCACACCCCCTCCCCCACCGCCTGTAATTTCCATAAATTTTCAACTTGGTTAGGACCCTCTGGCAAGAATATTTGTGTCAAAAATGTTGTTGCACAATGTTATGAAGTCACACACTCAAGATACATTTAACTTCGAACTTCGTTGCCCTCCATGAGGGAGGGGGGTATAGATATTTTCTGGAACTACACATTGTTGAAAAGTCCCTAGAGCATTTGCATTGTATTTTTGGTATAACAGTTACACCACAAATACTTCCTCTTTAGGCATTGCTCTCCGAGAAAAAATTAGTTTTAATGGAGCCCAAAAGCCATAAACTGTTGAAATCCAGGGTGCTGAGGATATGTATTTGGAGCAAACAAAAAAGATTTCCTGGTCACCCCAAAGCAAAAGTATATTACGACCAGGATCTGCCTGTTCAGTATTCAATACAGGCCAAAAATATCTGACTAGAAATAAATTCTGACCAGTGCGGGTAAGTTGAGAAAATACCATACCGTAATATTCCGAAAATAAGCCCCTCTGTGTATAAGCCCCTCCAAATATAAGCCCCCTAAACTTGTAATGCAAAAAACCCTCCGTTAAATCACCCCTCCAAATATAAGCCGCCCGGGGGCCTGTACTTGGAAATTGCCCTCAAATACAAAGTAAAACAAAGCAAAAACGGTAAATTTACTTCCAACTATAAGGCTAGCCCGATCGATTTTGAACACAAATTTCCCTCCCGTAGATAAGCCCCTCCGAATATAAGCCCCTCCAAAAATAAGCCCCTCAAAAAGGGCCCTTGAAAAATATAAGCCTCAGGGCTTATTTTTGGAATTTTGTGGTAGTCCTGGTGCCTGCAATGACAGGCATTTTGGCAATCATCAAAGACATTTTAGTAGAAAACATATTGTCAGTTGATGGTATCAGGAAACTTTTATAAGTTGTTGCATCATTATGGTTACTGACTGTGTCATTGGTCACTTGTCAATGATGTCATTGGCTTTTAAGACTCAAAACGTAGGTGATGATCTGCTTCAAAAAGTCTTTTAATGTCACCTTTCTAATAACGTATGTGGTATGTCAAACTTTTCAAGCTACATGTAGAATTAATGCCAGAATGTTCTGCATGGTTAGCTTCCAGTGCATAATATAAATATATTATTTTATAATTCTTAACTGTGCTTTCCACTAACATATAAATTAGTGGCTGTCAGCATTTCAAGTTGATCTCCCATTGTTTGGTCATTTATTATTTGGATGAAATTTGCCTGTATTTTTGCATGAAGCTTTTCAATAAATTACTGACTACATGTACCCTTTTCAGATAGAGATTTTTCCCCTTTGTTTACCCTTAATGTGGCAGAAAACAACTCTTTGAATATTACATCTTGATTTGCAGTTTTGTCAGATTGTTAACGATGCAGTTATTTATATCCAATGGTTTTCTTTTCATTTTCAGCGAGGAAACCTAAAAAAGGCCTTAAATTACTCTCAGAAGATGGTTGAACTAGGTATGTGTTTATGGTTTAGCTACAAACCTAATGGCTTTGTTCTATCTTCATTAAATACCTGGAGGGGGGGGGGGGGGGGTACTTCCTTTTAAGCGGCTAATGGGGTTGGGCGGCTGGCTGGGGCCCCTTTTTCACAACTGGCCGGACTAAAACAAATGTGGGGGGGGGGGGGGGGGAGGGTACTTCCTTATAAGAGGCTAATGGGGATGTGCTGCTGGATGGGGTCACATTTTCACAACTGGACTGACTATAAATAATGAGGTCGCATTTTCAATGGAGTTACTAGAATGGGGTCGTACATTTTTGGATTTTTGGGGGTAAGACAGTTCTTCATATTCAAGGTTAGCAAACGTACCAGAATGTTTGTACTGCAGTAGATAAAAAGTAAAGTGTTCTTCATTCAATCTAAGAAGATGGGTCTATTCGTAAAAATATTGAAAAGGGACTAAGACAGTTGGGATTGCCAATATTACATATTTGCCCAAAAGTGACTAAGATGGGGTCTATAATTAGCCACAGAATAGACTGTTATGGAGTAGGGGTTCTGAGGGACCGGTAGCACATACCCAGCAAAAATTAACCCAAGTATCCCTCCCCGGGATTAAATAACTAGTTTCCTGTTTGAAAAAGGTAGTTGCAACCATAGGTACCCTTACCAATATACTTGTATTATATGGATGTATAAATCAATATAGGGATCTTTATAGAGGCTGAAAGATTTTTTGGTCAGGATGTCTTGCATTGATCTTGTGTTCTGTTTAGACCCAACACATGAAAGAGCACAAGGCAATGTAGAGTACTTTGGGGAAGAAATAAAGATGTACAAAGGGACAGGTCGCAGAGGTGATACAGGAGTTATCACAGAAACTAAAGTGAAACCAAGGAATGAACGAACTAATTTTCATCGAAGTTCATCTTTCCAAAATTATGAAAGGCTATGTCGCGGTGAGGTCAGAAATTTGGTGAGTGTTTGACTTACAGGGAATCTAATAAGCTATATAGTTTCCCTACTGTTGAGACAGTGTCCTTCATTTTGTGGGCACAACAAAGAGGCCCTGCCAGGGTAAATTCCGACAAGCAACATGGCCCAAAAAGTAGCGACAGCGCGTAAAATGAAATCACGACAAGAGACAACCTCCCTTGGCCAAATTTCGACAGTGACAGCAAAGCTGACAATAAGCGACAAGCATTTTTATACACTGACATGAGACATTTTAAAATTCAGCTGGGCGACATGCCCCCCCCCCTCCAGCAGGGCCTCAACAAAATGTTTGGTGATGTCAGTTTGACAGAGGATAATTAATTCTCTATCAAAATGTCAGGACTACCTGTCAGAAATTTTTAAAAGCACCCCTTAGTGGCCCCAGAATCTTGCTTTCTGGGTATGACTTAAATTTATTTTCACCCCCTATGTAATATGTACAGCTGTACCAACTCATTAACAACAAATCAGTCTATGATAGCCTGCCGGCTGGCGGCTTGGTTATTTTGGCAGAGGAGCTGCAAAGCCATGTGAAGAATAAGGAGACCCTTCCTCTGCTTGGCTGTTATACATGTAATTTGTTTAAACTTGCATGCATTCATAAAAGACAAGTTATACAGCAGGCCCAGGTTGTTCAAAAGATGGATAGCACTCAGCGTGCAAAGAAAAGTCGTGTCCGATAGCCAGGGGCTAGTGGATTTTGCTATCTGTCTAGTGATTTTTGTTCTTAACTTGCCTGATGAGCAAGTGCTGTTTTTTGGGAAATTCAAATTACAGAAGGATTGTAATCAATCCTGCTCATCGAAAAGGGTTTTGGGGGTAGCTGAAATGACTTGTGGGCTAGTACATGCTAGCTACAGCTTGCCTGAATGGCAGGCTGTAAAACTGACCTTCTTTGCACCCTGGTACTATCCACTGGATGAATCACTATCCAGTGGGTAGAGATTTATCTGATGGATAGTGTAATATCCACCTTGTGAACAACTGGGGCCACTTGTAATTTTCTTGTGCCCTCTGTGCCAGCCTCTGGCACTAATGCTGCTTTGCCACCAAAATTCTCAGTCGAGCAAAGACAATTCTGCCTGCTATGCAGGCTAAATGGTGGCAGATTTGTTGAGGGTTAGTACCTGGCCCTCCAGGTTGGGGGCTATAAGCATGAGGCTAGTCACCCCTTGGTATAAAACTACTTTGCTTTCAAATACAGGAACAGTAAATAACTTTATGGAAGAAAGATGAATTCCTGTCCTATTCCTTACTAAGAGAGTAGGTACCAGGGTTTTCAGTAACATTTGGAATTACCGGATGCAGAGGTTTACATGTAGCTGCTTGACTTGCACCGTTTGTGCCACAGGTGCAAACGTTGAGTGCCAGAGGAGCTTTTTTGAATTGGACTCTCTAAAATGCAATTTCCCTGCAATTGGTTAACTGGGAAGGTCTTTTTTTCTTTTAAAAAAAAAATGCTCGCAAAAAATTGTATGCTTTACATAACTATATATAAAAAAAACGATTTTCACACAGTCTTAAAAAAAATAAAGATTTTCTGTGAACTACCAGATTGTAAATGTCAAACAACTGGACGTTGTGTGTGGCATCCGGCCTCAAACGAAACCCCTGGTAGGGACTGATGATGATAGAAAGATACTATGACCACTCCCACCATTTTTTTTGGGAATTCTCCCTGACACTATTATAGATAGAACGAACGGCACACCATACAAAAAGATTTGAGGAACTTGCTGAGCAAAGGCAGTACCTTCTTTCTCAGTTATTTTAAGGGCATCTGTATTGGTCCAGCACTCTTGTTTACTTACATTATCCGTTTTTTTTTTTTTAAGATAATATTTTGTTAAATAAAGAATCATAACTTACAGCTGTACATGTATGAGTGAGATGCGATCAATCAACTTTTAATTTTGTATTTAATTCAAGGAGCTAACATGGTCTTGTTAGCCAGCGTGGCAGGATGTTGAAGGTGGGTGCATGACAATACAAAGTGCCCCCTTCGCCTGTTAGCTCACCCAAATTCCACCTTCCCTTTCCCCTTTGAACGCGTGCCACACAGGGTAACATGGCCATTCTCCATTAGCTTGTTCCAGGCGTTCAGTTAGTGGAGAGCAGCACAAAATGCAAAGCAGTGGAAGAAAGAAAGAGGGAGGGAGAGAGAGGAGGGAACACCGTTACTTCTTTCCCTACCCCCCACCCCCTTGCTGTTTTTCCTGCTCACTTTTCTTCGTGCTGTCCCCACTATCTGAGCACCTGGAACAGGCTATACTCCATAAATTTTAAATGCAATTCTTATCTTCATTGTTTCATTCCACTCATGGGTTAAGATGAACTCAACAAAATTGGCCTGCTCCCAATGTATGGGTCTTCATAGCTCAAATTATTGGTAGAGCACTGAAACGCTAACGCAGAGGCCATGGGTTTGAATCCCGTTGAAGTCCCGAAATTTTTTTTCGGGTTAATTTGCAATTACTTAAATTGCAATTACCACTGCGATGATCATATCTTCATTTGAACTTTGTGCGTATTATGTATTTTTGTTGTCAGACTAAATGGGAGGAAAGTAAAATGCTCTGTTGGTACTATAATGATCCTCCCAGGCTGAAGATCAGACCCGCCAAGATTGAAAGAGTATTCGTGAAACCTGAGATTTTTCTATTCCGTGACATTTTATCAGATGTGGAGATGGAAGTAATAAAGGAGCTGGCAGCACCAAGGGTAATGTACAGTTGTTGTTAACTTTATAAATTCAATTCAAGAACACATAGCTCTATTGAATGGAATATCTTGATTACTGGTACCTGGTGATACCCTGAATTATATTTTGGGTTTACCATTATTTGTCATAGCTGTATAGGCATTGCTTTTGGAGTCAAGACTCCTGAAAAGTATACAGCGGAACTTTGATATTATGAAGAACCAACGCCCTGGAAAAATCGCTCATTATTACAACAGTTTGTTTATTATATTGGGATCCTACGGCATTCATCATTTAATTGACTTTACTACAACTTGGGCGCAAATGTCCTTCATTATGATGGATGGTTGTTTTTAAGGGTCCATTGTAATTCCTTGCTCCAGAAGCTTGGTTAATGATTAATAAGTATGGACTTTTGCGGGGTAAAACATTTCTACTCTATCACAAGGTCCTCCTCAGTTACCTATGACCGAATCTAAGGACGGTCACGTGATGGACAATCACGTGACTGAAAAGTTTTCGTGGCTGACGAAGTTGTTGTGGTGACTTTTTCACATCATTATTGACACAGTCCCTTCGATTTTTAATTACATAGCCATCGCTCCTTAGCTGTTAAGACTGTGTATGTACAGAGAACATTCAGTAATTCTTTTTTTTTAATTCCAACTGAAGCGATTGAGAAATTTGTGGTACTCGTGTGGAGGAAATAGATTCTGTTGCGAACTACAAATGGAAATGATTTCGTTTTTAGTCTTTTTGGAAAATACTTAATAGAGTTCTCACATTTTGGTGGCTAGCAACTCTTAAACGTAGAACCACAAATGCAACCAAAAGTTAAGTTTCACTAGTTTTACTTAATTGACTGGTAAAATTATTCGGATTTATCACTAACATTGTAACAGTGTGATGTTACACAGAAGTTTTCTCTGTTGGTCACTCTTTTGGCTTATCCAGTGTCGTACGCATTCTTTTTTTATGTCGTAACGCAACGTCTCTCCGAGCAATGTGTTACGTGACGACGCAAGGAAGGGTTGCGTAGCCGTGATTTGGCTATGATTTGGACATCATGTAGCGCTCCTTCCAAAACCAGCAGCATTGTGTGAAAAGCCTGTCAGTCTTGGAAGACCGTCTTTTGCCCTAACCTCCCAGTTCGAAAAGAAGTCAAGATCAAAACCATGGAAAATACCTAAACTTCATGGACACCCCTAAAACAACTGCACATGACTGCGACTAGCTTTCATTAAAGATGGTTACATTAAGGATTTTCGCCACATACTCGAAAAGTAAGAACAACCTTGTGCAGCACTACTTCGCCAAAAGCGTCGCAAAATAAAGTTTCAGCTACACGAGGATTTCACCCGCAGATTCAATGGTTACAACTCTTTTGTCCCCTATGAAATTGCATCTCTTATCTTGACAAGCAATTATAGCCAGAATTTCAGCCGTCTCCTCGAGACGCAAACTCACGAGAAAGACCTCCCTCGGGAGCTTGCGTTTCGCCTAAAGGAGACGGCTGAAATTCAGCCTACAAAAATCGAGGATCGTAAAAGTCTTTAAATCCTTCATGGTTTCTGAGTACCGCATTGATATGTGAAACGTTAAATACATCCTTAAAAAGTTGTTGGCAATGGTGGTGCCCCTTTATTAAAAAAAGAATGAATGTTGCCAGGGCAGCAGTGGGCGTGAAAAAGGTATGAGGTTCGCTCCCTCGCCTAAGAATTCAACGACTGCTCTATTAGGCTAATTGGAAACTGATCTCATGTCAGACCCTTCACTGGGTCAATAACGGTTATATGTTGGCCTTATCTCAATCAGCTTCGCCGAGCTACAGTGAGAAGTCCAGTAACTGGTGAACTTGAACATGCTAGATACAGAGTTAGCAAAAGGTATTATTCATCTCTTGTAATATTAAAGTTCCTACGAAGTGATTTTTTTGGCAGTTTTTTGTATCTTACAATTGTTGCACACCGATTTGTCGAAAGTAGTTTGCCGGAGAAATGTATAAGGCAACTTTGGCAGTTCACTTCAGTTCAGTTCAGTTTGGAGACAGCTGAAATTCTAATTTACCATAAAAATCGCTGACAACCTGTTGTCCTCCATGAGCCTTACTCCGCTTTCCTCCAATGAAATCATCAAAGACCCTTGGGGATCGTGCTTTTATGTTCGCTGCCCCAAAGTTGCGGAACAGCCTAACACAGGACTCAAGGACAACCACAAGTCTATCATGTTTTAAAATTAAACTGAAAACGTTTTTATTTTCCCAAGTTTTTTCATGACGAGGTTCTTTATTTTTAATTGGATGTACTTTTATAATAATAATTATTTTTTAAACTTCTGTAAACGCTATTGCATGAGCATTCATAAGGAAATTGCGCTATATTGACAATGAAAGCCCAGCAAATCTCGTTTTGGCCAAACGCGAGAAATGCTCACTTTCTGACTCGACCGTTGGCCAGATAATATCAAGGTTTTAAAAAATGTCCTACGTATTAGTAAAATACCTCATAGGCACTCCAAACCATTCATGCGATTCAAAGGTACATGCGTCTTGATTCATAGAATTTTAATTTCATGATCGTGATTATCGACATACTCTGGTGCATTACACCTTGACCTTATACTTTCTCAGTGTCGCTTCTTGGGGATTCTTTCATCAATTCACAACTTCAGAACTGTCATTTAGTTGTCGATTAAACGTTTGTTATCCGCTGCAAAATTTATTACCTTAAATCCCTGGTTAATTGTAGTTTAATCTCAGCCCCATTGTCTGCTTGTGACATTCAAAATGTCTGTACCAAGATACACAGACGACGCTTGTAACTAAATTACTGCCAAGCCTGAATTTTCTTAGGTAATCTTTAAAGCTGGAAAGTTTAAGAGATCATTGTAGGAATCACAGCTTAATTACAACATTGAGATTATCCTGCGTAATGCCGTAGAACTAATTTGAAGTTATTATTTACAACATGATAGGTCTAAATTAAACAAGATTAAGAGACTTTTTTCAGCGACAGTTAAAGTGATGTTAGTGCTGTACAGGGTGGTTCTAACTTGAAAACTTAATTAAGCGGAAAGTCAGGGACCTTTGCTGGTGTCCGCTTAATGAAGTATGCGCTGAATACACCTGAATTGCATTATGGGACGTTCGATATATTAATCTAACATGACTCCGAGGCTTTATGGACAAAGTTGCAAATTTTTCACGACTTCATTATCTTGCAATTCCCAGAAGAGACTTTAACACAAAGAAAACCAAACCAAAAATATTAATATAAAAATCATCAGAAAGCCTTAGAGTGATGTTAGAATTCATGTATCGAACGTGTGCTATTGGCTTTTACGAAGGTGCGCTGGAAACTGGATCAGAATTCGTTCCTCAAAACAGTCCCAATTTGACTGAACACCGATTCAGTCTTGAGGGAAATCTCAAAATAGTAGTTAAGACTGTTTTTGATACAAACGTGTCGTTTTGTTGCCACATAAAACCTTTAAAGCGACCCATAAATTTTGCGCCTTTTTGTTTTTTATCTCGTGTGAAATTATGTAGTTTGCCCGTGCTACAATAATTCTTGACGATGGAACATTAGAAGAAGCTGAATATAGAGTCAGTAAAAGGTTTGTAAACAGTGCACTATAAAGTGGATTGGCAGATTGTGTTAAACACAAACTAATCACGCTACCACAACTTCATGTTTCCATAGCCTTAATTTCATCCGATTACTTCGAGTCGTTATTACTTACTGAGGGAGTAATAACGACCCGAAGTAATCGGATGAAATTCAGGCTAATGTTTCCACACAGAATTATTATTTTCGTACAGAGCAAGTGATTTTATCAAAAGTCCAGTTAAGCAAGCCGTTTGTGTGAAAGCACATTTTTACGAAAGTAATACATCAGCGAGCCTTTTTATCTATATAATGGTCTGTTAGCCCTTAAGTTCATCCTGACTTGCTCGTGATTGGGGACTGCTTAATCATAGATCCTAAATATCCTTTCTGCGTCTTGCGCCGTAGATGGCGTTTTCGCTACCGTGCAAAACTGTTCGCGGTCTCTCCCAAGAGTTTTCATTATACTGTTTCTCTTTACTTAGCGGAGAAGCAGATAGTGGTAATAATGCAGTCGAGTAATGAGGTAGTTTTAGAAAATGTAGCGTAACGGAAATTGTGTTATGATATGTGGCTTTTTTAAAGGCAACGAGGTTTCTCCGGAATCAAATATTTCTATAGACACATGGCACATTGTTCAACAGATATGTGTTGCTTGACGATCATTTGTTTCTATTTTATCAATTTTTATCCATGAATTTCTGGAATACACATTTAAAATAAAAGTCGGTAGAGGAAAAAAGAAAAGAAAGAAAAAGGATATACTAAGACCCACCAAAACGTTAAACATACCAAAAGCCGTATACAGTATCTTAGTATTAAAACGGATTCGTTATGCCACAGAAAGTAGAGTTTGAGGGGTTTTATCTCAAACCAAGGTTATTCCTCTGCCGGACCAATCGCAATGCGCGAACAAATTCAAACGAGCCAATCGGATCTCGCAATGAATACATGTAGCCGACTATAAGCGCGGGAAAACGCAGGTGATTTGGTGACATTGGTTTTAGCTTGACTAGAGACACTTTCTGGAGGTAGTATTATTCAACATTTGAGCCCCAATAGTGATCAACATGTAACTTCTCGTAATATCACTTCGAAAATCGTAAGGAATGAAAAGACTGTTTTTTTTTACCTTTTTATCTTCAGTTGTTTTCTGTATTTCAGAGCAAGAGATTCATATACAAAACACGTGAAATACTTTTCATATACACGTGAAATTCATGTTTGTATCAGTCCATAATTTATTAAAAGCCGAAAAAGTTGTTCAAAAGCCTATTTTAATATGCCTTAGAACTAAAAACCAATAATCAAAGTTGTACTTGTCCCAAGCCGCGCGAATGTCGCGCTCCCCGGCCCGCCTCGCACTTGCTATCGCTCGCCTGAAAAACGAGAAAAAATAGGCCTGTTTTCGGGTCTTCATCGTGACTTATGCATAGCATAAAGTGCTAGATAGTGTGTTACAGGCTAAGTCGCGTTTGTCTGGGAGAATTCAAGATTGTTGGATGGGGTGGATGAAATCATAAAGAAACGAAATATCAGTCGGAACTGGATTCTTAAAATGAATGTTGACTGAAACCCGGAGAGAATCATTTGGGTACATACTCCAAGCCTGGATAATCGCTTGCCAGATGTACTTTTTAGGGATACTTTACCACCCCGCCCCCAAAATGAAAATACAAAAAAACGGCTGAAATATAGATCCTAAGAATCCAGATATAATGTAGACTTGACTTAGTGAATCCACTCAGAATGTTGCTTCATGACCTGTAGATTCTTAATAGCCCATTTTCGGATTTGAATAAACAAATGCGAAATCGGTGTTTTTGGATAATTCATCTCAAATGTCGATGTGTCTTACTCATACTCATGTTATTCACTGACGTTTCCAAACAGCTCCGCCGTGCAACCATACAACACCCTGTGACAGGAAAACTTGAATACGCTGCCTACCGCATTAGCAAAAGGTTGGTTATCAGCCCCAAGGTCCAACCCTATTATACATCATTTTTGTCAGAAAAAGGTACCCCTTTCGTGCACTCCACGGAAATATAATAACCCTTTCGTCTTGACATTTTATGTAGTAACATTAAGAAAGTGATACAACCATATTTTAGTTAAAGGCCCTTTTAAATACCTAAATTACCAATTTCCTTGCCCTTTCATATACCTTAACTTAAGAAATCCCAACCCTTTGCCTTTTGTATACTCAAAGTGTGAAAAAGGTATCCCTAGGAAGTACATGTATCCCCCTGGGTTTGAGCCTCCCCGTATAAAACGTTGCTAAGTAGCCCCACTCGGGGTTATCAATGCGAATATTATGCTCGTAAATATAAGCTGACCCTATACTAAACTTATTTGATTGTTTGATCAACTGATTGATTGTTGATTGAAAGAACGAATGAGCGAGCAATTAACGAATGGATAAGATGTTGTAAAGCCCAGCGTTGCTTTTATTCTAAATTCTTAGGGTCGACGATGACCAAAAGGCTAATATCTCTTTTCATTTTTCACCTTAGTAATAATGATTATAATTATATCAAGACGTTAAACTTAAAGATGAATAAACGTTGTAATGAATGAATAAGGACGAGGAAATGAAAACCGATGTTTTAAAATATTAATCGAAATAGCAATAACTGAACCTTAACCTAGGGTAAATTGAAGTTTGTCGAAGCGAAAAGTGTGTGTGTTTTTTTCTTAATTCTCGCATAAAAGAACTTCCAACGCTTGCATGAAACTAACGTTATAATAATGCTTTTGCAGATATTTTGCACTACCGCCTACAAATTAACCTTTTAATGAAAGGCATCCATCACATCTCTGAAAGTGAAGTGTGTTCAATCATTTTCGTTTTAGGGAAAATTTGTGTTGTTTGTGACACAGTAAAGTGAATTTTTTTTCAAGAAAACAGCAAACACTTAAATCTTCCTTTTTTTCTTTTATCCAAAAATAAAACTAGAGATGTTGTTGGAATACAGAAAAACCGTGCATGTGCTTAGATTTCCTCAGTGGATGCCTCTGTCTAACCTAGCTTCAACAGCTAATCTACTGCCAATCATCATGAGTATGCTTCACGCGAAGTAGAGAGAACTAGGATGCTGAACTAATGATACTTAAGGGCTAACCATAACCTTTATTGTGAACTAATAGCAGTTTTCTTCATACTGTCCTTCTTTGTTCTGTGTGATTGTCAGATGACGTGCTAGGTTTCGACAGCCGGGGCCATGCATCTTGGGTTGTTGAGAAGTGTCAAGCTACCTTCCGGGGAGGGCTAGAAGGGAGGCAAAATAATCCACAGTACACCCCTCAGTAGCTTGATAACCTCTGGGCCATTTGATAAACAAGAAGCCTACGAAGCAAGCGTTTCCAGCGCTCAAACAGCTCTTTCATTAATGAGCTAGCCTTTGCAAAGGTGCGTCTGACGATTTGTTCGCCCTTTGTCTTTTGACCTCCTGAACTGTATCAGACTCATTGACGATTACGAATTGCGGAATTCGGTCCTTATGTTTTAACTGAATTTTGAGTTCATTCTGTTCAATGATGCTCTCGGTACTTAATACCGTAAAATTCCGAAAATAACCCCGGGGCTTATATTTTCCAAAGGCCCTTTTTGAGGGGCTTATATTCGGAGGGGCTTATGTATGGAGGGAAGTTTGCGTTTCAAAATCGATTTGGCTAGCTTTTAGTTGGAAGGGAATTTACCGTTTTTGCTTTGTTTTACTTTGTATTTGAGGGCAATTTTCCAACTACAAGCCCCCGGGGGGCTTATATTTGGACGGGCGATTTCACGGAGGGCTTTTTGTGTTACGAGTTTGTGTGGGGCTTATAATCGGAGGGGCTTATACATGGAGATGCTTATTTTCGGAATTTTACGGTACATCCTAAATTTAGTAATTTGTCGGCTATCTTCCGTTGAAAGGAATATGTTTTAATGTTTTTAACTGGAAATCAAACTTTGACCTTGACAAGTGAATGACAGTTCTGCGTACATCTCTGTTTTTTTTGCATTTGATATTTTATTTTCCATACTTACGTGGTCAGCAATTCGTTCTCTTTCTGTTGAAATCTCTTTCTTTTTTAACTTGTTTTTTCTTTTTTAATATAGTTAACATTCTTCTACCCTTTAAAACCATGCTTACTTATTTGCCTCCTACCGCATTTTCTTATTTTGTTTATTATGCTAAGTTTATTTTTTTGCCTATTTGTGTCTTTTACTGTTGCAAGTGGCTGGTTAAAGGACACCGATCACGAATTAATCAGACGAGTAAGTCGGCGTTTTGAAGACGTGACTGGTCTAACTATGGACACTGCAGAGGAACTACAGGTATAGATCATGAAATTATTAGAAAGTGATGAATATATGAATCTCATATATTTCTACCGCGGAAGGAAGAAGTGAATGTAGAGAAGATCCTCACAGTTAAAGACGCAACTTATGCGTTTATGAAAAGAAAGCTCGAAAAAATAGTAATCACTCTTTTGTCTTCCCTCCTCACGCGACAGACAAAGCCTTCAATCCGCGAATTTTATCCACGTGATCTGTGTCCATGTTTTATCTTTAGCTTGTCGACGTAAAAATTGAGCAGAAGCTAAGGATTATCCTGCATTCTTGGGAGGGGCGGGGGTCCTTGTGGAAGTGCCACTCCGTCACGTAATCCCACTAACTGAATCTCAGTTTACACGATCAGCGGAGGCCTATAACGCCTGTTCACCTCGTGCCTTCGCTTCCTCCGCCCGAAAAAAAGCACTTTTGACGGAAGCAAATCTCTCCCATACAAAATCTTAGTATCCGCTCCGACTATAAAGGTCGACCTATTATTTTGTGAAGATGTTGAAAGAACAGGATGTTCTGTTGAAAGAATACTTGTGAGATACTTCTTTTTCCACTTATAGATTGTAAATTATGGCATAGCTGGGCACTACGAACCGCATTTTGACCATGCAAGAGTAAGTATTACTTTAAAAGTCTTACTGTGACGGCGGCGCGCGCAAAGAAAAAAATTGGCTTAATTAGGGAGCTTAAGCAAAGACGTTTTTGAGCGACGCGCGTCAACCGGAAGTGAGTCCTTCTCCCTTTTTACATGCCTTGACTCTAACAAATTTGTATTAATAAGTTTCTTTTCTTTTATAAAGAGGATTTACCCGAGAGTTTGAACCTAACCACTCCCCAGTGATGCTAAAAGTCCACTTCCGGTTGACGTCCGTCGCTCAAAAACGCTGTTGCGTTAGCCCCTTAATATGGCAGCGCGGCACACCGGAAGTTGCGTTCAGTCCTTTCCGCGCGCTTTCCCGTGGTCAACTGGAGTTCACATTCTGTTGCTATATCAACCTACTGAAACTAATTACTTCAAATCCTTCCACTCTGACACCTTAAAGTGACCAAATAAAAACATTTACGAAAAAAAATCGTATTTCTTTGTGTAGAATCCTAAGAAATAAACTTTACCATGCAAAGTTCTGCCAAAGCGGTTTTTTGTGAATTGTAACACCTAAGGAATTTGCCCACGGATTTCAAAGTAACAGTGACAAATGTTCTTGCCATAACTTGGTCTCAGAGTGGGAGGATTAAGACAGGTGCTCATATAACAAGTTTGGTAGTTCCATTTTTTTTCCTTTTTAAAATACTTCTTTAGTTTAAAAACAAATAATAAAATAAAAAAATTAGGGCTGAACGACAAATTTAAACTGAACCTACAATTATTTTGTATGAGATAATTCTAACTATGGAGTCGTTGGAGATAATCCAAAATTGAAACCATTCAAGTGAACACTACTTAGCAGTAATTTCCTGTAGTACTGTTTATAATGCTGTAAAAGGGATCTCTAGCGTATTTTTTAAACCAAGTAGTCCTTTCCTGTCGTACCGTTTATTACGGTGCACAAGGTGATTCTTAACTTTTGATTCTGGGGACGAAATCCTAAATTCTAAGCATTTACATAAAAGCTACTGAGTAGTATTTTAGGGTGGGTGGCAACTGCCTGTGACAGAGTTAAGCAGTCTGTCATACAAGGTGTTTTTAACCTTTTTAATATGCGGTCTTTTTTGCTTTTATGCATTTATGTTTTTTCTCTCTCCAAAGGAACATGAAGACAAGTTTTCATCGCTAGGTACAGGCAACAGAATTGCTACAGTCCTCGCTTATGTAAGTCATTATTTAAAGATTCATACTTCTTTGTTAATATGTTGCATTTGAGAAAGATGTTTTTTTCACTCAGTGACAAAGGCGTCTCGAAGGAAAAAATGACTCTCTGGTAACTATGGTAACTAGTCCAGATGCTCTACCACTGAGCTACAGAGACTCTTGGGTTTGCATAACTGTGTCGAATTCTCCCAACCCCTCTCGGCAAGGCTATGCAATCACGGAAAAGGTTTTCCATTACTTTTATAAATTAAACTTCCCAAGAAAAAACGCAAAACTCTTGGTTATGTAACTGATTAAAAGAGAAATTCACACCAGTCGTGAAATCTTGGTCACGAATTCTTGCACGCGTAATCAGTTCTTGTTTTCCAAAAGATATGCTTTCCAAATTTTGAATTTTTCTCGCTTAAAATGTCAGCTTAAGCGAAAAAAATTGACACAGCATGTTTGTAAAGATTTTTCAAGTTTCACCCGACGAGGGAATGGGTATATAAAGTAAACTTGTCGAGTTTTCAATTCAAAACCTTTTTCAAATTCGTGCTTTAGTGATTAGCGCGCGAAAAGCAAAACATCTTAACGTCACAACCATGTTTAGATGCTTTCCTGCACACACGCCTCTCGGCCAATTAGAGGGCGCGTTCAATCTTAGTTATTTTAGAAAACTGATGCAGTGCGCTTTGTTATTCTAGATGTCTGATGTTGAGGCAGGCGGTGGAACAGTGTTTACACAAGTTGGTACAACGTTATTTCCAAGCAAGGTAAGGTGAAAAAATAGGAAGGTATAACTTTGGAAAACGTACTATTCCAGGTGTTTGCATCAGTCATGTAACTCTCAAAAGTGAGCTAAATCCCCGAAACTGTGAAAAATATTGAGGTCGCCCATTCAAGTAGTTCTTTGTTTGTTAGGGTCATCACTATGAGATCTGATCGTTTGACGGACGCCGAGTCCCAAAAGTCTTCATACCCAAAGCTGATACCCTGTCTCTTGAAATGTTTAAGAGTGGCTATAGGTCACGACACAGGATTTTGTTCCTTCGATGCTCAAGCGACTGCTAAAAAACTATTAGGTACACGGCAAACCTCGGCTATCCAGTAAACCGCCAACCAGAACTTTGGTCTCGAAACTCGAGACTTTATTCTCGAGACTCGAGACACGATAGTCGAAAGTTTGAGGATCAAGACGTGAGTGATTGTCAAGCGGTACTGTGAGTCGGCGTCAAGCTGAGGAAACGCGCTTGATACGAAACGAATGGCTTTGGGCCCGCACCTGATTGGTTGCGAAAGTGGCGTGAGATTTTTTAGCCAATCGTAATCCAGTTAAACTAAATCATATTAATTGGGAAACCACTCTTGTAGGGAGACGCTGCTTTCTGGTGGAACCTGAAACGCAGTGGGATAGGAGATGCCAGCACTAGACATGCTGGGTGCCCTGTGTTGGTGGGCCAAAAATGGGGTAAGCGCACACTTCCAATGATATCAAATTTGGGCATGCGCAGTTATCCAAAATGACTAATACTCTAGAAAGTACTGAGTTGTTAGTTTAAATTTTGCGACACATCAACAGACTCAAAAGTTAGAACCATCTTATACAGCATAATAAACCGCACATCATCAAAGAGAAATGCTGAGTAGCTTTCATTTGAATTGCCACGGCACACTTTAGGATTTTATCGACAGGCTCAAAAATATGAAACAACCATTCCTTTTTCTCATATGATTTAAAATTGAGAACTGAAAAATGTACCTCTACGTGTCAACTTTACCCTCGTGATATCATATTTTTCTACTGTTACTTAAATCACGGGAAGGTGCGTCCCAAACCCGATGCAATAACAACGGTCCCTTTTTTAATGCGAGTAAATTGTTGCCAGATTAACTACCAGCCATAGTTTATTCCTTGATATTTTTTGCTGTATTAAATACTTGATATTTCCGTATTTTTAGTGGCAAACAAGTGGATCCACGAGCGAGGGCAAGAATTCAGACGGCCGTGTGCCCTGTCTCGCCATGAGTGAAACCGCTGGTCAGGGAAGCGCTCGGTTTCAATAAAAGAGTTAAAATAAAGTAATATAACCAAGCGCTTGAGACCTTTTCTGTATTTCTGTGAACAAAATCACCAACTTGAGGCTTGGTATGACAGAATCATGATACAGTGATTTGTATGAAACTGTCACCCAGGCCTCGGCCTCGTTTCGGTGAATGCGCTCACTTGAGCGGACTGCAGGAAGGTCTGTTGTGTAGGATTTAACCATTTAGGTGTTAAGGTACGTTAAAAAACGGGCAACACAAACGTGCAACTTGTTTTGCAACAATGCTGTAAGAGTAGTCGAATAGCGATATAGCGCGTTTTACCACCCATGAATCAAACCTGTCTTGCAACAAATCAGGTTGTTGCAGGTTCGAAATGTTGTTGCAGAAAGCGCAGGGAAGTTCTCCTTTTTGAAACAAAATATGTACATGTTGCGCGTTTTACTGGCCAAAGGCAAACTTGTTTTGCAGCAACTGAAGTAGCTCCTATGTATTGCGTGACTCCCGCGTATTTTTATCCAATCAGAAGTTAGTATTCTCGCTACTTGCAGCAGCCTGATTTGTTACAAGCCAGGTTTGAACGTTGGTGGTAAAACGCACAACATCGCTTTTTAATTCGTTTTTTCTGCAATGTTGCAAAACAAGTTGCAAGTTTTTGCTGCCCGGTTTGCCGTACCTTTAGACGTTTTGTTAGTAGGTTTCTAATACTTCGTCTATAAGGAGTCTGAAAACTATGAACTGTCCGCTAAAAATGTAAGAAATCGTCATATTATCAGATTAATAATACTGAGAGAGTTGCTATGTTTTGTGATCTTTGTATCTGGCAGTTCTAGAATTTCCTTTAATGGAAATAAATTTTATATCTTGCAGAGTGGTTGTGTTTTCGTCTCGCTGGCGTCACTTATAAAGTGAATTCGGCAATTCGCGCTCTTTCAAACATGTTTTTAAATCCACAATGCCTTATGACGATCAAGATGTCACTAGATATAGCGTGGTATAGGTGATATCTCTTGTGATTTTCACAATGAAAATTAGACATTCCCACCTTCATAAACTACGAATTGTATATGTTGTCCCACCCCTCCTCTCTTGTTTTCGCCCCATGTAAGGGAATCCAAAACAGTCTTGGATTGTGGACTCCATGCCGTGGATTCCGGATTCCAGCTCTGGATCCAGGTCGTTTGTCAGTGGAACTTGGATTCCGGATTCCAAAGCCCACGATTCCGGATTCCAAATGAAAAAATTTCTGGACTCCCTTACTTGCGACGATTAACAGGCGGGGAAGGAATATCCAACCCGTGAAGTCCGCCCAGGAGTGACTAACATCAATTTTCTCCTAGCAACATCGACACATCAAAAACAAAAGGTTATGAGAATTGATAACATGATCTCCAAAGATAAAATTCTTTGATCTTTAATCAAAATGTCCCAGTCAATTCTTTAAGGAAATGTATGAAAATCAGTCGCGGAGAATCTGTATGTGGAGAGCCCTGGATAATTAGGCCACGACCAAACGTGAGTTAAGTTCATGTAAAGTTCGACGTCTGGCTTAATTAAGTTCGTCTGAATGAGTTTGGATCGTCCAAGACGTTCTACCGATCCACCTGCTTCAGGTGGATTTCGGTGACTTATTCGAAAAACTCGTTCGGACCACGTGACCCAAAACGTACCGCCCTCGCGCAAAATGAGGCCTAGGTATTAGGCAAGGGGCTAGCTATGCAAATAACGGAAATAAGAAACTTTTTATTCGGGGTCTGGAAGTGGGCCCGTGATCCCGCATTCCCGCTCCTTTTTTAGGACAATCCCGCATGCGCAACTTCTGTTATCTTAATTAATACCGCTTTCTTTCCCAATACCTCATCCTGTGCAAAGATTTTAGCGAATCCCGCTCACCGAGTAGCGGCCAAATACCTTATCCAGTCGGGAAATTTTGCGTTGTCCCGAATCCCGCAATGTATTTCGGTCAAATGCCGGATCCCGAGAACACCTTTCCAGACTCTAGTTCGATCGGCGAGTTAGCAAGAGTTTGAAGAAAATAGCCGGTAGTAAGGAAAAAAAACAGTTTTTACTGCGCAGTGAACATTTTAATCACATTCAATTGTAGAAATGTTAAGTGAAAATTAACTAAAAGATACTTCTAGATTATAAATTAGAAAGTAACGTAACAAAATATTGCCTAAATAGAGCATGCGTTTTACTGTTTTGAGAAGTAAGGCTGTTTCACGCGTTAGATTTGTTACAAACAACATTAGCCTACAGTAGTAAACTATATGCCTACAACAGGTAAATGGGAAATTCAAAATTCAATGTTTCGGACGCCATATGTAGACTGTTTTTTTTCCGACCTTTTAAAGGCTCAAAACATGATTCGAGTTAAAATTATATAGGGTAAAATTATGTAGAAATGATCTGAGGAGCCTCTGAAAACTACTTCGAGTTAGCCGGAGGTTCGAGTTATCGAGGGTAAAATTACAGTAAATGTATGGCTGAAATCCAGGGCAAATTGATTTTGGTTCGAGTTTATCGCGAGGTTCGTGTTAGCGAGGGTTCGAGTTATCGGGGGTCAACTGTATGTTTGTAAAGGAGGGTAGAAAGAGAAATCTTCAGTCGTTCAGCGCAGTGCGAGATCCTGGCCGGCTATGTACAACAGGGTTCAACACCTTTCTTACTTTACATTGTGGTCCACACTGATTCCGAGACCCATCTTCGGCCCAAATATTGGCTTCCGTATAATGGCAGGGTTATGGATTCCTGTCCCGGGGGAATACTACCATAAATTTTGGGTAGGTGTGGGCCAGTCAGGATCTCACATGTAAACCCTGACCCTATTTAAGGGTGAGAAAAAAGAAAACGGATCCCCTGTTTGAGTGGTCTGTTACACAGCCGTTTTTAGTGTCGTCACGTTGTGACATCACTGAAAACGGCTGTGTAGCAGACTACTCTTTAAGGCGCAAGTTTGAAAAATGAGACAAAATTCAAGGAAAAAAGAAAAGGTTGACTGGAGCGTTCAAATCTTCCTCAAATGGCTCTCCTAGGGTGACTTTAAGGTAAAGTTGAGTTCATGATACTGTGTTTCTGGCGTAGCTGGGCATTTACGCACTTGAATTTTAGCTGACATACTAACGGTACCCTAACTAAGGATAACACCGGCCTGATTACGACGTCAACAAGGTCAAAAAGGATGCCCTGTTTAAGCATGAACACCCTCAAAAACCACACTCTATCGGGCGGCATATATCTAAAGCCTATATATGGAAGTGCACCCCCCCGGCCGCTACCTGTAAAGGTTCATGATCTGACAACCTCCTACCCTTACATACGCTTTGTTTTCACTCTCTCCGACCTCGCCTGGAATTGACGCATAAACAAAGCATAAACAACTTTATTGACTTTATCTTGGACATGAAGATTTCAGTACCAAAACAATAACAAATGAAAAAAGTAAAATAAAAGTTAAGTAAGAAAGAAAGGAACAATTGAATATTATCATAAAAGAAAAATTATTTGGCTATGTACGGCTTCTACGCTACTCGTATGGTAAGAAAGTTTAATTAGAGTTCGGATGCACAGAATATTTTCAATATAAGAAAAAAAAAATTGACGAACAACTTCGATCAGGGGAGGTAAAACAAACATTTCCGCGCGTGCCTACAATTTTAGGCTCCTGTGTTGTGAAGTTGGTAGTGACAATTTGTGGTGTCTGATCCATTTGACAAAAACATGAATCTTTTTTATTGTAATGTATTATTGATAACAATAACACGTTCAATTTAGTTTCTAGTGATGTTATTTATTCCTGCTTATCCGGAGTACATACCAATGCGTTTTCATTACACATGGAAGTAATTAAGAAAACATTTACCACCGAATAGATGAGTCAAATATTTTGTAAGTCAGCCAAACTGGAGGAGTATATTTACTCGATATATTACCTGGCTTAAGTGATATTAACCAGTAACCTACCCGGTTGGGTTTATAAAACTTAAGGGGCAGGCATTTCTTCTAAACTTAATAAAAAAAAAAAAAAAAAAAAAATAGAGCTCTCGTGAGAAAATAACGTTTATCAACCAAAGGTTTAGAATAGCTAGGCGTATTCACCCTTTTTTTAGGGCATTGTTTATTCAGGGACTTTGTAGTGTCAATAGCCCAATGATCATGCATTGTTCCTCTGTCAAGCTATGATTAAAAGAAACTTAATCACTCTCGACAGACTCTTCCGCTTCCTAATTAACGCAGAAATATATCATGAAAATATTATGAAATAACTTAAAATGGACCAAATAAACATTTACAAATTACTGTAGATTCAAGCGAAAGGACGAGATCAGCTTGTTGGTCACGGTTTCCACCAAGGTAAGTGGGTTGAAGTAGTTGTTACTTTTCAAGAGCTGTTGGTGTCAAATGAATTATCAGGGGTCAAACTGTTCTCCAATTTGACCGAGGTATTGGTTTTGTGCCGCAAGAGCCTACCGCTGATTGGTTAACATCGTGAAGGGTGACAACTATTAAGGACATGTATCGGAACTTGTTAATGAGGTCTGATTGGTTGGGCGGAGCTAATGGAACTTGAAGAATGCATGGACAGCCGACACACGACATCTATCGGACAAGCGAAGAGGAAGAAATAGAGAACAGAGTAATAAATCATCAATGGACGTCACGTCGAAAAAAGACCAAGGCGGTTCTAAGAGGTACAGCCTTCGCCCAGTTTCGCGCGAGTCTCGAAGCAAGCTAGCTGTATTGGCGGCTTTTGAGGACGAGGAGGAAGAAATGTGTAACGAATGTTTCAGTGATTCTACACGGCTACGAAGATACCCCCATTTGAGGACATCAAGGGACTGCGCCACTGTGAGGGAAAGAAATCGAATGCATAAGTTGAACCGGGCGTTCGAAGAATTGAGAAAAGTCATTCCTAAAACAAGCTATAACGGAGAAGAGAAACTCTCAAAGATCGCTACTCTAAGATTAGCGATTCACTATATTTCTGTCCTATCGAACATCTTAAAACAGGACTCTGGGGAAGAAAGAGACGAAGACGAAATACAACCAACGAGTAAAAGACAACGTCTGAGCGACGAAGAACAAGAAACGGCCTCTAATTCAAGTAGTAACGAATGTGGGTCCGAGCACTCCCCTGAAGGAATCTTCTTTAATGAAAGTAAGTGCCTCTAAGCCCTATTTAATAAAAAGTGTACACATAACTTTTGTTGCTCGCTCAAAGACGACAGGTTCCGGCTTTTCGTTTGAAAAGGTGGCAAATTTTACACCTAACTTTGGGGTAAGGTGTACAAAAGCTTCAAGGGGGTGAAATCGAATTTATGCCCCCAGCGTAGAATGGCTAAGCAATGTAATTTTCTTCGTGCGGAGCGGTTGAACGTTCAAAAATTGAGACACATTCGTTCAATATTTATTTCGATGTTACCGAACGTAAACATGTCTGGTGCTTTTAAGTGAGCTTAGGTTTAAATCTCCATAAGGTTAATTGCCTTTAGCCTCCAATTTGCGGGTTCAAGTTCTTTTAAAAGGTCTCCAACTGTTTTTTAACAACAGAATTACCCTTTTTTTTATTATACCAACACTAAGAAGTGCCCGGCTTACCGTAGCCGGTTTAATCATTTGTTCGACAACTTGGTCAGTGCAAATAAAAATCCTTGCGATCAGTCTGGACCTCGTACTAGTCACTGTTCAAAGAACGACTACATTTTAAACCTGTTAGTTCTGTGCCGGTGTACACTATATAGAGTATTACATTTTCCTGTGGCGATTTTTCACAAGACGGCTCTGACGTTTAAGTTAATGCGTGAAACACCCATGGAAGCTTTCACTGCGACAGTCGCTCCATGTATTTGCTGTCACTTTCAAGGCAGTTCAATATTTTAAATTGTGCGTGAAATCTCAAAGCCTCCCATTACGAATGAGGCCATGCACTGAGCAGTCCTTCAGTTACATCAGGTGCTTTCATGATCTTGTTGTATAAGGTGGCTTTCTCCTCTGAATCTGTCTCGATGAAGTCTTAGTTTTGCACCAGACGAAAGCTACCTTTGCAGAATATTAATATGATAAGTTCCCGAGGTTTTTTATTAGTCTTGTTTGCAGTTTTAGTTAAAAACCACTGAGCTCACTGAACAGTTTTGTTGCCTAGGTTTTGACTCTGTTGGTGAAAATGTGTCCATTTAATATGAAAATTAAACTATATGAGTTTCCCATGATACTGTTTGTCTACAAGCTAGAAGTTAATGTCTGATTCTGAAGTTCTGAAAAAATTTGGTCACTTAAACTGAAATCTCGACTGAGAGCGGGTTCTTTCCTCTCAACTGTTTATTGAGTTGTACAATATTATCAACTATTTTCCACTTAAAATATGACAGCCCATAGAAGTTTTGATCAACAAGCACTGCAATTTCGTGTTGATGACCTTTACGGATATACTGCTCAATTATGAGGAATCGCTAAAAATCTGTAAAATCTCTATTTTACACTTGCATGGCGGTAGGCATTAGGATGCAAATATGCGGTTTTGTATTACCATATTTACCCCTGGTTTCTTCGAAGTTTGCACTTTTTTGCCTCAAGGAAATTAATATATAGTAAATCTAATTTTGTAGAGTGTGTATACCATCCAAAACGCGTTCTCATATTAACGTGACCACCATTAATCGATTAAAATAATTGTTTGTTTGCAGGTTTTTGGTGTGGAACACTTGAAGAGTTTGTTGGCCCAAACTGGGACGAAATTACACTCAACGATGCCCTTCAAGCTTACGCCATCAGTGACATCTGATGGGGAATTTGTCACGTGAAAGTCAGTCTGCGGTGAACTGAACGATTTTGAACAGTTCAGGGGAATGCTTGCGACCAAGAGGTCTGTGGTTTCTGTCATGGTGTGTGGTTAGCAATTTAGTCATCTCCAAAGTGAAAAACTGCGAAGCTGTTCTCGTTTTTGCTATAAGCTGTTAATGTTTTCTTGATGAAAAACCAGCAGTGTTGTTTACATGAAGTCTGTGAAGGTGAACCACATCTTGGTAAACTCTTGATTCTATGCTGGGATGAAAGAGCAAATTTAATTCTTTACTGAGTTTGACCATTCAAATGAAAGCTATTGAGCAGTACTTTCCTGTGGTACAGTTTCACTGTTCAAGGCGGCTCTCCCTCTCTCTAATGAACAGGTCTGTGGATGAAATCGCAAAAAATAAAACGTAACAATTCAAACGAAAGCTACTGAGTAGTACTTTCCTGTGGTGCTGTTTATTGTATTGTACATAAGAGGTTCTAACTTTTGAGACTGTAGTTGAAATCCAAAAGTGTGACCACTAAAATGAAAGCTATGCACTGAGAATTCTACCTTCCTGACTGGAGGTATCGTTCAGATTTCGTGCTACAGTAAGGTGCTTCTGTTTTGGAGTTTGGCTGAGTTGCTCAGATGTGGTGTTGAGGGGACCTTAATGACTGAAATAAAGTCCGTCGCTCACGAGATTTTAAATGGGAATGTTATTGGGATCCTTAACTGTGATCGAGTCCAGTATAACAATTTAGACAAATTTCAATATATATTTTCTCTGGTCTATTGTTATTTTGTATGATCTACCAGACGACTTAGTTCCGTGACTCATTTGACTGTTGGATCATAAAGTGAGCTTAGGTTACCTGGCTTGATAAAGGAAAGCTTTGGATAGACTGTTTTGTTTTTGTTCGTAGCCAAAACTCGTCAGACTTAAGTAACCAAAAGATCGAGTCTTTCAGTATGTTAACCGCGTTGCTACTAGCTTGTTAGCCCTGTCAATTTATTGCGAAACATGAACTGAGGTTACGTCTGTCGACAAAATTTTAAAATACCCAATCTGGCCAGACCCTGGCGGATCAAGATACCACACCTCACCCTATTTCAGACCAGTTCTCACAAAATCTATGCTCAATTTTCAAAACATTTTGAACTGGGAGGGGTAAAAAAACCCTTAAGAGCAAAAAAACCCAGCTAGTTTTTAGTTTATAGGGGAGCAACCCTGGGGAATGCCTTTCTCGGAATGATGCCCCCCCCCCCCTTTTTAGTTGTTTCTTGTCTTTTTCGGGTTTGGATCTTGGGTTAAAGATGGTTAATTTCAAAGACACTTGACATGCACACATTTTTAGATAAAAGGGATTCAAAGCCGGAAATTAGAACAACCACAACAGCAAACCTCGGAAAAACTAGTGAATGGATCGGTTTCATCCATCTGCTCATAATCGACGAACGGGGTTGCAAAAAGTGACTTCTTAAGCTCTGGAGAAACAAGAGAGCGTGTTTTGATGCTAACCCAGACGCCGATTTTTCATGAGCCGCCCTTTATTTTCATTTTGGTCGAACCAAGATCAACAAAACAATGCTTAATTGATTCAAATGCCGACATTTAATTAGCCCAACTTAATGATCGATAAATTGCGAAATATGTAACGAGTTAATATAACAATTTCTGGATTGGGTCAAATGAAGTCTAAGTGTAACACCGGTCAGTAAAAGTCGAAGTTCGGTGCTTTTCTAGACGTTATTAAACCTGACGAAATGTATTGAGACGAAAGGCTCATCCGTTCCAATTTAAAAGCTCTTAAAACTAAGAAAGTAGCCTTTCTGGATTTTAATTTAAAGATGCGCCATAGCCGGGGGCGAGGGGGTACTTTAGGAATTTCTGGGTGGGGGTGTGCCGCTGGGACCCTGGAACCCTTAACCTATACCAGAGCTAGTTCAGCTAAATTTTGCTACCCTATACTAGAGTAAACTCCCCAAATCCCCCCTATCCTAAAGTAGCTGTTTCCCTAGTCTAGATAAAATCTTCAACCAACTGATCAGGATACCCTATACTAGACCCAAATGTTCTGATTTATATACCCTGTCCTAGAGTAAACTGCTTGAAAACAGTACCCTTCACAGCGGCACATACCTATAAAGCCCATATATGGCAGTACCCCCCCCCCCCCCCCCGCCCCTGGACTGCTTGGGTGTCTCATAGTCGCCGTTTGCTGTTTCTTTTTTTGATAAAGAAAATGTTGTCGGAAAAAGAAGTTAAAAGAAAAAGACGCTTTTAAAGATTTTTTTGACCTTAAAACAATTCAGTTTTTTTTTTTTTGTTTTTTTGGTTTTTTTTATTTTTTTTTGGTTAAAATAAATGGAAATAGAGATGAAAAAAATANACCGCACCGGGGAGACTCAGGCCTGGGGGAGACTTTCGCCCCGGAGCGAGTTCACTCCGGTTCCCTCTCATGGCTCTATAATTGTTTACATGATATCACCACAAAATGTCATACTGGCGCGAGTCACCCCGGCGTGCGTGAGTTCACCCAGCCTGCGATCATGCTCTCTCCCTTTATCTCTGTAATCTGTTTTCGGGAGGAGGGCATGATACATTTCGTTTACAGATCACATGCAAAAAAGCCAGAATCTGGACTTTTTTCTGATTGGATAGGAAACAATACGGATGATTTGTGCTGTTCCGATTGGCCAAAATGCCGACATCCGTTAGTTGTTGTTGATTTCAGTCTGCATTTTTGCTTGCATACGAGCAGTGAATACGCAGGCAAGTTCGTTATGAAATTTCTGCCGGCTCAGCATTCTTGAAAATGTGAAGAATGTCTAAATAGAAATTTCCTCCATTGAAATATTTTCCATCTCATCGTATACTTAATTAAAAGTTGCAGTCAAAGTTTAACCGATCATTTGAATGCAATTTCTGATACCGACACTGAAAAGAAAAAAGACACCAAAAACAAAACTTATAAAAGAAGACTATGTAGACTGTATGTGACGTTCATTTTGTGTGACACATCATCTCAAGCATTTGAGAGAAATTCACAAACCATCAGCGTGGGGTGAGCATGAGAACTAACCTTAACTCTCCCAGTTAATCATCATAATACATAAACTCGTCAAAATTTTGCCTCTTCAGTTGCTCGTCTTGGTCTTGGTCTTCCCCTACGCATTTCCTGGCTTCTTTGATGGTGACTGATTCTACCTGACCGATGGTGTGAGATTGATAATGTATAAATTCGTTCATTAGTCATTTCAATAATTTTCTCATTAACGAAGCTTTCTTTCAAAGAACCGCATATAACCTTAACACTGATTTCCCTTTCCGCCTCTTTTGTGAAAGTTAACCGATTGAACACATTGACATCAAACTGAGCACATTGCCCTTGCTTTTTTGGTAGCAGTAGTTACATCTTGCTCCAATACGTACAATTTCATTTTGCAAGATGATATATCTGAGGCAAGATAGACAATGTCACCAGACGACTGGACAAGTTCACTTGACCCCTCCTTTCGTCCCCTCTCCCTTCCGCTTGTAGTAACTACTGTTTCTGTAGTTTCTCCTTGGACCTCTCCAATCTTCCCGAAATCAAATGGCTGACTTTTAGGCTGCTATGTTAAATAGAGATTCATTGGTAGAATACCTGGGCTGTCTTTTGCAGTCATGTTCTTCACCATTTTTTGCGCAACACTTTGACCATGCTTTATTCCACGCCAGTCTCTCATTTGCTACACTTGGGACTTGGTTAAATGTGCTTATGAGGGTGGGGACATCTTAGGTAGTTCTGAATACCTTAAATCAGATTTCACTCTTGGGTAATTATGATGAGACTTGGGATTTGTACAGTAGCCTAATTTGTTCTACACATTTGTTTTAAGTGCTCCTTTAGGGCTTTGCTCAATCGAAAGTCAAACTGGAGCTGCATTTTTTGACAGGAAGACATCTTTTCTAGATTTAACTGGATTTATCAGAATAAATAATAATATCAGGTACTCAGCTCAGCTAGATAATCTCACTCAAGTTCCAGACTATTCGTTAGCCTGCTCAAGTCTTCTATTGACTTCAACAGCTTGATCACTCTAGATTCGTGCGTCTAACGAAGAAGAATTTGGCCATTTTTCGCCCAACACTACTGAAATTGATGCGCTGTCTTGAATTTATTTGCTTCCGATAAAAGGTGCTCTAACTTTGGTGTTCAGAGATCATAAATCTTGGCTTGCGCCAAAGAAGTTTCTTCCCATAAGCTGCGGAAAATTTATCAAGTGTACGTGTCCTCATTAAAGGTGTAGGGTTCGCAGATAAACTTCGAATTCCCGTTCTTGAATGTTCTTCTTTTGAAATTTATTTCCGCAAAGAACCTGGATCTAATATCTGTAATATCCCCGATGGTGGAAATGACACGATTAGAAATGGATGGAAAAATCAGTGAAAGGTTCCGGCAATTCTACTTTTTTTACAAAAAGATCAACTCTGCTACTTGAAAAGAGCAGAAAAATTAACTTTCTGCATTTTTTTTTCATAGAACAAAATGCAAAATTGTTTCCTTTTTTGTTAATGCTAGTCGATCAGGTGAAAAGTTAAAAAAGGTACCTTTTCAGAAAAAAAAGGTGGGTATTTTAAACTTTCGAGTGAAAACATTTTGACGTTAATATTGTCCACTTTTCATCCATATCTCACTTTACCAAACGATGATTTAAAGCGCGAAAAAGGTACCTTTTTGTCGCCTTCAAGCGATCTCATCAAAGGCACAAAAAGGTACCTTTTTTGCAGTTGGAAGCGATGTTGTTAAAAGCGCGAAAAAGGTACCTTTTCAAAAATAGAAAATAGTGTTTTCAAGCTTTTGGGAAGCCATTCAAAATCCTACTGATTTACATATGCCATCCGTTGGCACCTCTTGAGCTTCAATAAATGATGATTTTAGGAGATTCTAGGTGATCCTGTTAAAATTGAAATGATCTACAAGGGGAATCAGCGAAGCAAGAAATTTTAGCTCGCTTCTTTAAGC